TTTTGGATATGAGCGTGTGTGTGAGCGTGTGTGTGTGTGTGTGTGTGTGTGTGTGTGTGTGTGTGTGTGTGTGTGTGTGTGTGTGTGTGTGTGTGTGTGTGTGTGTGTGTGTGTGTGTGTGTGTGTGTGTGTGTGTGTGTGTGTGTGTGTGTGTGTGTGTTCAGACTCCCTTTATTCTTTTCCCTCCTTTTCTCTCCCACAATCTCTTGGACATCAGTCGCTCTCTTGTTCTCAGTGTGTGAGGCAGATGAAAATGTGGGGCACTCGCTCTGTTCTTCACACACAGACACACACACAAACCATCTGGGTCTCGCATTCCAGCGAATGAAACTGAAAGGGAGTTTACACACTCGACTGACAGCGGGCCTGTCCTTTTAAATGCCCCCTCACACACACACACACACACACAGACACAGCCATCTGTCGGATCAGCAGTGGTTTCTGCGTGCATATCGCTACATGGTTCCGCTTCCCTGTGGAAAAATAAATCCCAGCACTTGTGTTTTTCTTCCTAGAATCACCAGGATTGTTCTGATTAAGCACAGTTCATCTGTTTGTTTGCATGCTTGTCTCTTATTAGATCATCTGAATAGTTTTACTTGTATATTTAACATTCATTTCATTGTTTGTTTGTTTTTTTGGTCTAGTTGTTGATTAGTTTTGAATCCTGAAAGGTCTCTTTAAATTGTCAGTTTTTTTATGTAATGTAATGTAATGCTATTCTGTGTGTGTGTGTGTGTGTGTGTGTGTTTAAAAAGCCCCTATTATACATTTAAAATAGGTCATTTTTTGGTTTTAAGTGTCTCCAACAACAGGCTGATCTGCATGCAACGTCAAAAAACACTTTCATTGTCTTATAAAATGTGTTTATTTTGACCTAATTATCCCAGCGACTCCCATATGATTCCTTCAGCGATTCATTTGTTCTCAAACCCTTGCTTAGCACGAAGCTAATCTGTGCCGATTGGACATTTGACAGCCTGTTGCGATTGGTCGACAGCATTCAGCGTGAGACAGAGTAAAATGTATGTGTGAGCATACATGCCAACACTCCTGTTTTTCCCGGGAGTCTCACTTATTTCCGACCCATCTCCAGCCACCCACCCATTATTTTATTTATCCCGGAAACCTCCCGTAATTTCAACAATTCTTACACTTGTGAAATGGAGGAAGAAACTGATCCATGATCCACTGATCCATGTACTGATAAAGTTCCTGTCGAGCTCTGACTAATTCCCATACATCAATAGCCTTTTCTGATCCTTCCTTTAACAAATGGTCGACGAATCCCCCATTGTAAGCGTGTAGATTGCTGATGCACAAGTTAGAAAAATGACAGGAACAGCACAAGGCTGGGCTATAATGATGAGGTATTTTTGCAAAAATAAACCTCAACCACTGACTCTTTACAGTTTCATCTTTGGGTAGAGGAAATAACACTAACTTCTGCTTACACTTCAAATAATATCCAGCTGAGCACAGCGTCTTCATGACTTGATTTAACCGGGATCTGCTAAAGTGTTTGTGGGCAGGGCCGCAGGTTTTAATTTTACCGGGTTTGCGCGTGCAATACTTGGGCAGGGATTTTTTCGTATCGACGTCACGTCGAAACGGCTAAAGACTCCTTATCAAGACGATTCACTTGAAGCACTATGAGTGTACTCTTTTATAAGTGAATCAATAGTTTTAAACACTGTCCACTTTTAAATTTAAGCCTTAGCTGGATATTACACTTCACTTAGAGCTGTGTTACACACTACATGGAAGGTCATTTTCAAACACCCATTGTCACAGTGTAAAACTAAAAGACACTGTGACTAACAAACACACATCACATTGCACTCATACATAAAATACATACTTTTAAACATGGACCTTTGTGTTATTTGTATTGTGCATGTGTGTGTTTGTGTAATGTGTATATGTTGTTTTTTCTGTCCAGATTAGCATTGTGTTTATGTAAAAATTTCACTTTTATGTCAAACAATAGCCCATATCAACACTGAAATAACCACAGACACGTTTTCTTTCAAACTTCATTTATTAACCAAACATAGAGAGTTTACATATACTTACCAGTTTCCATTTCTCAGCACCAAACCTGTTTAACATTCAAACAAAGCCATTTATACAGATTTTTCCCGCCTTCACTTTGGAGCAGCCATTTTCCATAACATCATCAGGGTCACAACCCCCTGGTCAGTAAATAAAAATCACAGTTTTGTTGTTTAAATTTGTATTGGTCATTTGTTGTGTTGTATTTTGAGTTTTGTATGCATGTTCATTTACTTGCATTAATTTACATTTCTGTTGAATGTCTTTTTATGTATTTTTTTGTCTACATGGTTACCCACTACCAGTAAAATAGTTTAACCCATGGGCGGGGCCAATACAATAAAATGGCCCCAAACATTCACTTGGTGTGGGTAGTTGTAGGAGAAGGTTGTGTTTGTGTCAGTATTGTTAACAGATTTTGTTCAGGTCATTTACTTGATTGAGCTGAACAAGCCTGTATATACATTGTAAATATTGAATAGTTTATTTTTCTTTATTGTTATTTTGTCACTTTCACCTTTTTGCTGGATTTTTGTTTTCACTTTGTGTAAATAAATCACTCTTCACTTTCACCAGCGGCTTCTGTGACACTTTTTTGCCTCCATCCACCCGGTCAATCGTAACACCCATAATAAGGGCTCTTTGAAGATTTATTTTTGGCATTTTGTCTTTATTTGACAGGACAGTGTAATGACAGGTAGTAAAGGAAAGAAAGGGGGATAGGATCGGAAAAGGTCCACGAGCCGGGACTCGAACTCAGGACACCAGGATCACTGCTGCGCTATATGTCGGTGCACTGACCACTAGGCTATCGCACCGGCAATGATTAAATGTGTTTGCAACAATATTGTGATTATTAAAAATAATGTCATGGGCGCCGATAGCCTAGTGGTTGAGTCCGCTGACATATAGCACCGTGATGTTTACATTCACTGTTTCATTTGGGGAAACTCAACCCACTACTGAGCTTTAATAATAAACAGGTTTATGCTGCGCTTCCCATCACTTTTATTCAGCAGCAATTACTTATGGGACTTCTCAAGGGAGAAGTCTGCATTCGATGCATCCTCTATCTAGAACACATCCGGGTATTTTCACGCATCCTCCGTTCTTGCAGTCTTGAGTTTTGGAATTGAACATTGTTGGTTGATAATGACGTTACACGAGGATGCAAGAACACTGAAGAACGCATATTGAGAAACAGCCAGCCTAAAACAGCCTAAAATTCAATTGTCATGTAAATGGTCAAAACACACATAAAGTTTTCCATGTTTAGTTCAAGTTGGTGCCAAATAATAAAAATAAATAATAAAAATCTAAATAATTTATTAAATGTTTGTATTAAGTTTGTTTTATTTAACCATATTAAGTTGAACTAATATTTTTGCTTGGGCTTAGTTAAACAGTAATATATTAATTCAGCAAAAATGTGTTAAAAATGGTCTTTCTGTGTAATTTATTGAATATATTTAATTGAATCCAGTAATATTATTAAAAGGAACGCTCCACGTTTTTGAAAACAGGCAAATTTTACAACTTCCCTACAGTTACACACTTAAGTTTTCCCATTTTTGAATAGCGGGAGGAATTTTAGCTTAGTATAGATCATTGAAGCGGATTAGACCATTAGCATCTCTGTCAAAAATGACGAAGAATTTTGATTTTGATTTTTGAAGAAGTTTTCTATTTAAAGCTTGACTCTTCTGTAGTGATATGTATGTGCTTGATGTCACAGTTTTCACAAAAAAACGTGTTTTATAGTTTACACATTGTACATAATGTTACACAATGTTTTCAAAAATGCGCACTTTAAAACCCGTTTTCCCCAAAAAATTCAATTGTCATGTAAATGAACGGACAAAACGCATAAAAATTTTTTCATGTTTAGTTCAAGTTAGTGCCAAAAAAATGTAAATAAATAATAAAAATCTAAATAATTTATTAAATGTTTGTATTAAGTTGGTATTTAACAGTATTAAGTTGAACTAATATTCTTGCTTGGGCTTAGTTAAACAGTAATATATTAAGTCAGTAAAATAATATGTTAAAAATGGTCTTTCTTTGTAATTCTGTCATTTGTGTAATATATTAAATTGAATCCTGTAATAATACTATAAGGAACGCTCCACGTTTTTGAAAATAGGCTAATTTTACATCTCCTCTAGAGTTACACACTTAAGTTTTAGCATTTTTGAATGCATTCAGCTGATCTCTGGGTCGAGCGGGAGGAATTTTAGCTTAGCATAGATCATTGAAGTGTATTAGACCATTAGCATCTCTGTCAAAAATGGCCAAATAATTTTTAGAATTTTCCTATTTAAATCTCAAGCAGTAATAAATTAAGTCAGCAAAAATATGTGTTAAAAATTTTAAATAAAGGGTTATTTTTAAATCCATTATTGACTTGACTAATAAAAGAGAAATCCAGCCCGTATTATAGTCATTATAGTTGTCATCTTATTTTGTTCAAAGTATTAGAATTCGTTAGTACTTTTACCTCGTATTAGCTTTTTTTTATTGTGTTTGTGCAATTACTTTCTGTCCTGTACTGCATGTTTCTTTATATTTAGCTATGTTAAGCTGTGGTTTGGAGGCTTGTGCTCAGTCATTATTATAATATTTTCTTGTTTTATATTTTTAGTCTGATTCCAGGCTGCAATCTCATCCTTGCGGACTACGGTAAAACAGCCAGTGGTGTTCAGTTTCACCACAGCAGTGCTCTGAAAACAAACCTACATTAGACCGAGACAGAAAGACAGGACAAAATTAGAATTAAAGACGCTTTAGAGTCCAATTGTAGCGATGTTCTTTAAAAATACATATTTGAGTTTATTTTTGGAGAGAAAACATCAGGGAAAGTGCAGTGATCATCAATCTGGAGAACATTCATTAAAGTGTTTATTGTTAATATGAAAGTTTTCATGATGTCTCTGCCTCTTTTTCAGCATAACTTCAATGACCTGAGTGGTTCAGTGTCTTTGGCCTGGGTTGGAGATGGAACAGGGGTGAGTCAAAATCTGACCAGTTCATTTAACATAAGAATACAGAAGCAAAGCATGAAATTGATATAGTTTTAAATGTAGTTGGGGATGTTAGTATTTCTGTGTAATTTCTTTTCAATATATTCAATTGAATCCAGTGATAATACTTAAAGGAACACAAAAAAGGCTTAATTTACAACTCCCCTTGAGTTAAACAGCAGAGTTTACCCATTTTTGAATCCATTCTAGCGGGACCAATTTTAACTTAGCTTAGCATAGATCATTGAATCAGATTAGACCATTAGCATTCATGCATTTATTCATTCATTTTCTTGTCAGCTTAGTCCCTTTATTAATCCGGGGTCGCCACAGCATGAACCGCCAACCTATCCAGCAAGTTTTTACGCAGCCCTTCCAGCCACAACCCATCTCTGGGAAACATCCACACACACATTCACACACACACTCATACACAACGGACAATTTAGCTTACCCAATTCACCTGTACTGCATGTCTTTGGAGTGTGGGGGAAACCGGAGCACCCGGAGGAAAGCCACGCGAAGGCAGGGAGAACATGCAAACTTCACACAGAAACGCCAACTAAGCCGATGTTCGAACCAGCAACCCAGCGACCTTCTTGTTGTGAGGCGACAGCACTACCTACTACGCCACTGCCTCGCCCTATACCATTAGCATCTTACTTAAAAATGACTAAAGATTTTTTATAATTTTACCTATTTAACGCTCAACTCTTCTGTAGTTCTGTCATGTACTAAGACCAATATGGGAAGTTCCTATTTTGGAGTTCCGTTATGTCTAGATAAATATGTTGCACTCTCTCTACTCACCAGCAGTGAGATGAATAATAAATAAGAATATTAAGATTGTAACACTTTTGCTTTTATCAGATAATAGGATGAAATTGCACATTTTTATACACTTTACAATAAGTTTCATTGGTTAATGCATTTACTAACATGAACTAATCATGAACAACACATGTACAGCATTTATTAATCATAATTGAACATTTACTAATGCAATATTTACATCCAAGTCCATGCTTGTTACATTAGTTAATGCACCATGAGATAACATGAACTAACAATGAACTACTGTATTTTCATTAACTAACATTTACTAGCATGAACAAATACAGTAGTAAATATATTGTTCATTGTTTGTTCATGTTAGTAAATGCATTAATTAACATTAACTAATGAACCTTATTGTAAAGTGTGACCCTTTTTAAAAAAATTATTTTTATATATTGCCTTTTGGACTTAAGCATTATAAGTTTTTGTTGGTATTATTATTATTAATATTATTATTATCATTTTTCTTCATTTGCATACTTTTAAAGGTGCTGTATGTAAGATTTTAAGTCTTCTAAAGCATAAAAATACTATAAAATGTTTGCAGATAATTAAAGACTCTTGTTTATCTAAAAAACAATGCTGAGGTCAGATATTCTACTTTGAAAATGTGTTTTCCAGGCTGGAACGTTCGCCTTTGTTTTGGTTCTTTTAACCTGCCGACTGCCACTTCAGCCAATTATATTTCAGCACCCCGGATTGCCTTGGTGCAAAACCGCGTATTTCATTTATTTATTTAGAAAGGCTTTTAAAGCATGCGCCCATGACCAAAACGTGACCTTCAGTGGACAGTAGCAGACTCCGAAATGAGATGCAGATTCAGGGCTTTATCATACACCCGGCGCATGTTTGCCTCTGTTTGCCCCGACATGTTGCTATTTTCAGACCAGCGCAACCTTAATTTTCCCGTTTTCTGCCACGTTGTTTAAATGACAAATTCATTTGTGCCACTTTGTAGACTCATGGGTGTTCCGGTCAAGAAAAGAGGTGTGTTAAGGCGCATTGTTGGTGCGTTGCTATTTTGAGGATCTAAAATAGTCGGTTCAATAGACCAGATCAAAGCAGGTCTATAGTCCAGCGCAGAGCGCGTTAGTTGTGCGCCTCCCTTACACATTGCTTAATATACACAGGATGTACAGCATTACACAAATATCTTTACAAATGAAAAAAAAATAAAGGAATAAATTATTACAAAAATTATAATTTTCTACATAAATAATAAAACCACAGGGGCTTTTTTCAGTTTTTTCATTACAATTTGTATAATGTATTTATTATTATTATTATTATTATTATTATTATTATTATTATTATTATTATTATTATTTTTAAGTATTATTTATTATATGCATATTTATATATTTTTTATTAAAAACAAATTTAGATTTGTCCACATGTCAAGTTTTGGACCATATGGAGCATAGCACGTGTGTTTGGATATAACTCAGTTTATTGAGCACAGTTCGTTATTACTGTTCATTTATTAGTTTGGTGGAAATTATAAATAAATTTAAAAATAGTTTTAAAACAAATCTTTATGTTTAACAAACAAAATTAATTATTTAGGCTAATGAATTTCTTTAGTGGAGCGCATACAACACAATTTCCTCATCTACAAAAGAGAGAAAGAGAAAGAGAAAGTGAAAGTAAAGGCTGATTGGAGGAGGCTCATTCTTTATCCTCGCTGTAGATGCTCTGTTTAACTGTTTCTGGCTGGTGAAGCGTTCAGTTTTTCCACTTACAAAGTCCGCCATGTAAATAGCAAATGTGCTAAGGTGCAACGCAACTGACTCTTAAAGGGAATGGGAGATGAGACTCTGATTGGTTTATTCTCAAACACACCTATATTTCATTAAATAAGCACAACTCATTGAGATAAGCACTACCCTGTTACACCATGCGCCACGGTAAAGAGTATATTTTTCTGTCCTTAAAATAGCAAAAGTGGATTTGGACACACTCTTAATGCTTTTGCACCCTGCGCTTTAGACTCTGTGCCTAGACCATTAAAATAGAACCCTCAGAGTTCCACATGAGGTGGTTATTAATTAGCAAATAATTTAAATATTACGAACGTAAACAACACGCTAGGTAATGAGATTTACAGTGATAAGCAATTAGGCTGTTAGCACCGGACGAAACCCGGCAGAAATTTAAATACATCCATTCAGAAGCACAGAATACTCACAAAATGGTAAGGTTTATAATCTAATTGATACACAATAAACCTCTTTAACATTATTAAATGTTGATGCTGAATCACTGATACGTGTTGGTTTGTCACAGTTCTAAAATTAAATTTCGAACTGTTTATTTTATTGTCAAGGTCTGAGGTGAACTATCTACTGCTGCTTTCAGTAGTATGGCAATAAATGTCATGTAAAATGGCATTCAAACTCACATTGTTAGCATTTAACACTGAATAAAGCACATGAGGTGTACCTGAGGTAATCACAGTCAGTTATCTGTTGTTTGGCTGCTAAAATTAAAGCCGTTTCTAATATATCAATTCGAGTTGTGGGTTAGAACAAAAACTCATTTTAATATGGAGAATATTCCTTCTATCGTGTGCCGTTACTTTTATATAGAACATAATTTAAATCAGTCTTTAGGCTCAAGTCACTCGCTCGTGTTGGTCCTGAATCTGGCAACCTGCGCTTGTGTTTGTTTTGATCCAGGAATGCAATACCTAGTTCAACCACTGGGTGTCAAACTTACACACTGCACCTTTAAAGTAGGGAATTCCCTACGGTATCGTAAATGGTATAAAATATCGATATTTTGTAAGGTATTGTATTGTAGTTGAAAATTCCATTATCGTCACAACACTTTTGTATATTATTATGATATATTTAATTATTGAATATCGTAATATCATATGGGTGCCCATGTAGTTAACTGATGAAAAAATCTTGACGTTAAGTGCAAACCCACTATCCATTTGTTGCGTTCAATGGAAGAAAGCAACTCATAAAGATTTATTACCACATGAGGGAGAGTAAAGGATAAAGTAATTACAATTTTTAGGTGAACTATGCCTTTTATACCAACTGGAAACAGAGATTTAGTCACTGCTACTGTTTTTACTAGCCAGTAGCGAATGAACAGAATGTGTAATTGTCAGCCGAACCGTCTTAGCCACTAAGCTGTTCTGAAGTCAGCGCCACGATTTGACTTGCAGGAATGTGGCCTTACAATCACACGTCAATGCGAAACAAGAAGGAGTGAATTACAGATTCAGCGGCTGAAAGAGTCTTCAGAGTCTGCCTTGACAAGACCTCAAACCCTCATTTAGTGCCAACAACACTAGAGGATGAATCTGTCGCTTGGAGAACTGAACCAAAGTGCAGCTGTAAAACATGCAGAAGCTGTAATTACTGCCTCAGGCCAGCCTTCACCCAACAACAACAACACTTTGAGACGTTTCTGTTAACTCTGTGCAAACACTTTTCAAAGAATAGCGTCTTTGGAGACGACTTTGTTGCTTTTTAGATGTTGAAATTAGCAGCTTTCCGGGAACTGTTTATTGGGTCTCTAATGAGTATTGTTCTGGTAAACAAGCTTGTTTCCTAGAAGTGCTTTTTGTATAAAGAAATATTAATCAAAATTTAGCCAATTTGCTTTTTAAAAACAGGAATTTGGCCTAAATGTATGTTTTAATTTATTTTTTATTGTTGGCGTGGGTTTTCTCTAGGTGCTTGGGTTTCCCCCACAAGTTTAAAGACATGCACTGTAGATGAATTGGGTAGGCTAAATTATCCGTACTGTTTGTGTGTAAATGAGTGTATATGGGTTGCAGCTGGAAGGGCATCCACTGCATAAGCATATGCTGGATATGTTGCCAGTTCATTCCACTGTGGCGACCCCAGATTAATAAAGTGACTAAGCCCAAAAGAGAATGAATGAATGAATGAATGAATGAGTAAAATTAGCAATTAATCATAGTTATTATTATTATTGTTGTTGTTGTTGTTATTAATTAATAAATAATAATAATTATTATTATTTTTTTTTTATTAATATTATTATAAAAATATTTGTAAAAATGTTTTTCGATTAAAAACAAAAATGTATTTTAACTCTTGCTGTAAACTTGCTTTTATTTTTTATATAATTTATTAATTTATTTTTATTTATTTATTTTTTCTCAAAGGATATGTTTGTTTTTCATTCATAAATATTATGAATTAAAATATGTTTTATTTTGATGGGATTGTAGGAAAATAAGAAAATTAGGATGATCTGTAATTTTTCCTATATTGTATTGTACATTTGAATTCAGAATTATTCGCCCCCGTTTAAAAAAAAATAAATTCTTCGTTTTGAAATATTTCCCAAATGATGTTAAACAGAGCAAAGAATTTTTTCACAGTATGTCTGATCATATTTTTTTCTGGAGATTTTTCGTCTTTATTTTTTATACAGTTTTAATTTTTTAAACGCCGTTTTAAGGTCAAAATTATACAGAACAAATACAGAACAAACCATCATTGTACAATAACCTGCCTAATTACCCTAACCTGCCTAGTTAACCTAATTACCCTAGTTAAGCCTTTAAATGTCACTTTAAGCTGTATAGAAGTGTCTTGAAAAATATTTAGTCAAATATTATTGACTCTCATCATGGCAAAAACTAAATAACTCAGTTATTAGAAATGAGTTACTAAAACCTTTATGATTAGAAATGTGTTGAAAAAATAATAAACAGAAATTGAGGGGAAAAAATGTATAGGGTGGCTAACAATTCTGACTTCAACTGTATATTTATCCACAATAGTAAAGTTTGTTTCGTTATTAATGTGTCTATTTATTTATTTATAAAAGTCCTTTATTATCACTACTAATGACTGTGTTTAAAACAAATCAGCACTTGAAAAAACGTGCGCTGTGGCTAACCATGGCGATGCTCGTTCTATTTACTTCAGATGCTACTAAGCTGTGACAAAGAGGATAGAATACACAAAACATCCACTCCCATAGTTTTGAATGGGGAAAAGTGTAAGTCAATGTGATTAATGAAGCCCCACCTTCTAGTACAGGAGCCAATCAGGGATCACTATAGACAGACGATTTTCCGGGGGAGGAGCTTGGACTAGATGTGAATTTCTGCAGATTTTATGACTTAAACGTTAGAAATGTTTCCTAATATGAAATTTAATCATAAGCTTGGCAAGCAATTTTGAAGAATTTCATGTTTCTCTATTCAGACGGAATGCCCGAGCATACTGCCCAAAAGGCGTTTTAAAGATGGCCACAGAGTGAAATGACATGCTTTAAAGGGACTTTGGCTGCGCCTAGGGAAAGACACTGAAGTCCCGATGTGATTTTGTTTCTCCTGATAATTCAGGCACTTGTAATCTGCCTACGAGTTCCGCAACCGGGACACGTAACAGATACAAATTTTTCATTCTTTTATAACCTGTTTTAACACATTTTAGTCTGCTTTTTAACCTGTTTTAATCATTTTTAAATCTCTTGATGATTTTTATTTTCCTGTTGTCTTCTGTTGTATCCGTTCCAGTTCTTATTGTTTCTTTTATTCTTGTTTATGTAAAGCACTTTGAATTACCATTGTGTATGAAATAAGCTCACCTTGTCTTGCCTTGTCCGCTATGTCTTGTAACACTAATAAATAAATGTAAAAGTAATAATAATAACAATAATGAATAATAGTTATTATTACTATTATTATTATTATGATTATGATTATTATTATTATTATTATTATTATTATTATTATTATTATTATTATTAATTTAATATGTAATTAATAATTAATTGATATAAAAATATTTTACATTTTGATCTGACATCACTGGCCTGCATTGTTATATATGTATTGTTATTATAATTATTAATAATAATGTTATTATTATTATTATTATTATTATTATTAACAATAATAATAATAATAATAGTAATAATAATAATAAAATATTTAATTAGTTAGCTAATTAATTATTATTATAAAAAAGGTAAAAATGTAAATCAATATGAAATGTAGTTTCTTATTTTAATTTATATTTTAATGTATGTAAGTTTTTTTTTTTTGTGGACCCATTATGAAAACTTCTGTACAAATATGTTAATTTTATTTAATTTTGTTATTTAATTTGATTAGATTTTTTTCATTCTTTTTCTTATATTAAATCAAGAGAAACAAAATGGCAAAATAATTTAAATTATGTTTAAGACTGAGACATTACATTATACTCTAACATTTATTGTTTTTTTATTAAATAATTAATGAATTTATTTATTTGTTACCCCGCCTGAGTCTTAACAGACATAAAATAATATCCGTAAAGCTCTACTTTTCATGGGTTTAATCTAATATAAATGTGTACGCTTTAAAGCTCTGCCTCTTTTTTTTATAATTTTTTTATTTAAGCAAAATCACCTACACTGTGTGGACTCCTAACCATTGCTTTCTTCTTATGGAAATGTGTTTGATTATAGAGTTAAAATGAATAGCAAGTATTACGTCACGTTGACTTTAAGTGTTAGAGACAGGAGTTAAATGAGAACCAGCCACTGACCAATCAGAAGACTTTCCTGCAGCAGAAGCGCCTGAACTTGACTGATCTTTGAATAAACGATTGTGAAGGTTGAAATTGTGGCTCTGCTCAAGTCCAGGCACGCAATATCTTGACCCAGCTAGAGTTTAATTCTCTGTCAAGGCACACTGAAATTAAAATGATGCTAAATAGTACTAAAAGTGGTGCATTGGCTTATAAACATAACAGAATCACTTTGAGTGTTAAACAGCAACTTTACCGCATCAAAACACATTGACTTGCATAGAAATATATAGAAATAAGAATGACTTTAATTGATCAAAAGGTGCTTTGTAAGTGTTTCTAAACCTTCATGAGTTTCTTTCTTCTGTTGAACACAAACAAAGATATTCTGAAGAATGCCGAAAAAGTAATAGTAGGATAAAAAATACAACAGAAGTCGATGGCTGTTTCTTCAGTATATATCTTCCCTTGTGTTCAACAGAAGAAAGAAACTCAAACAGATCTGGAACGAGTGGAGCATGAGTAAATATTGAGCAAATATTCATGTTTATGCCTTTAACAGATTCTTTATGTGCGCCATGATCGCCTCCAAAAAAAACAAAGAACCATATTTTTTGTGTGTGTATGCAGTAATGTTCACCATGTCTCTCTCGTGTGCAGGTCCTGCTGGTTTTGACCACATTCCAGGTCCCTCTTTTCATCATGCGCTTTGGTCAGTCCAAACTCTACAGAAGGTAAGACTGATTTTTAGAGCTGTCCAAAAATATATTTAAAGGGCACCTATTATGTAAAAGCACTTTTACAAGGGGTTTAAACTCAACACTGTTATGTGGCAGCAGTCTGTGAATATAACCAGCTTCTAATGGTCAAAATCTATTCATTTCATTTTTTATAATCACACTTCATAAAAACACAAACACTTTGCAAAAACGATTTGATCGACATTTTCGCTTTATACGTGTCATTAGAGGGGAAAAGCCTTGCCCATTAGTAACTATCTCTTCCTCGTTAGCCTAGGACTTAAAGGGCCATGAAACCCCCTCGTTTTAGCAGGGTGTTTTCACACCTCTACTTTGGAAAAAGTCAGAAAAGTGGGCGTGTCCAGCTCTGTTTAGGGGGGAGTGTAGGAGGAAGAAAAGTGGGATGGTGTGGGAGTTTCTATTTGGGCACGCGCGAGTTTCAGAATCAAAATACACACACACACACACACACACACACACACACACAGTAGAAAGTGATGGTGTTTAACCTACATGGACATCTGTAGTCGAATTATTTGCCAAATTATTAAATGTTGGACTTTAACTGCAGTTTGGCTTTTTCATTCAGGGAATTCATTCATGCCCCTCGCGACAAACGAGATATTTGATTCGAGGAACTGCTCTAAGCGTGTATTTTTCATGCAATGTTTGATACCGCACGGCAAATGAGAGAAAAAAACCCTCTGCGGTAAAAAATGCGGTAAAAACCCTACACGAGGTTAAAGTTTGGTTGTGGTGCTAACATGTTTAAACTCTGTGCAATAGTTTGTTCGATACGACACGAGAGCACTGGTCGCTCACCAAATCTGTAGAGACAGGACAATCACCAGCAACAAGAGCCGCATCTTTATTAGGAGGAGACTAAAGCGAATCAAGATCTCAGCGTTTGCAGATGAGAACAGCTCTCAGGTAAACAAGTTATTGTTGTCGAGCGTCGCGTACACTGTTTATCCATTGTGTGAGTCTGAGCTCTCACAGAGAGAAAATGAAAACGAAACTTAACTGCAGCAAACTATAAAAGCAACACTTCACGCTTATTTTGCCAACACAACGTGGCGTCTCTGCCGTCTAAACACTGTGACAGTAATGAATATTAATGAAGTTGCACAATAGAGCGCGCTGATTGGTTTGAACCAAGCCTTACTCATGCATTAATGCATCACACTGTAAGACGTAATAAGACTCACTCTGGCACAGACGCCCAGTCTGCACGCTGGAATACAATGCTATTATGTCATGACCGTGACGCAACTTCAAAAATTCGTTTCAAACTGGAAGTACGAATTTGCTTGAAATAACGCAAAAACAACCAATTTACACTTTTTAGTGAAATATAGGTGTCCTAATAGTGTTTTTAGCAGTGTGGGACACATATACGACTGTCAACAGCTTAAAAAAATGTGTTTTGGTGTTTCGTGACCCTTTAAGTCTTGCTCTGCAGACATATGTAGCTCTGCCCCCTTTTAAAAAGAGCACAACCACATTTGAATTTAAAGCGACAGTCACCAAAATGACACAATTAAAATTAAAGCCTAAAAGGGGCAGCTTTAAAGAGTTATGACACATAAACAATATTTGTGTGGTATTTTAAGCTGAAACTTCACATACACACTGTAGGGACATCAGAAACTTGTACACCTTGTGAAATGGGATTAATAGGTCCCCTTTAACGCAAATCCCACCAGATGAAACTGTAACTTATCCATGTGGCCTGTTATCTCTTCTTGGTCAGTGAAGACTATGGAAAGACATTTCAGGACATCACGGACCTCATTAACAACACCTTCATACAGACAGAGTTCGGCATCGCAATTGGCCCTGACAATTCCGGCAAGGTAAAAAATGATTTCTCTGCTATACTAAGTGAATGTGAAAAGTTATATTTTTATACACTTTTGAATGGTACTAATGACAATGCTCTTTAATTTTGAAATACACGTGGAAATTACTCAACAAAATATAAATAAAAACATTACAAACACTAACAAATAAATCTGAATTTCAATATTAATAATGGAATTTTAAAGAATTTGTGAAATTTTGTTTCTATTATTATGGATATTTGTGTTGATTTATATGCATCTCTTCCAGATTAAAATTGGCAGAAATCATTAAAGGGATAGTTCACCTAAAAATTTTTATTCTGTCATCATTTCCTCATCCTTGTTACTCACTACTTGTTTCAAACATTTATGATTTTCTTTTTTTTCTGTTGAACACAAAAGAAGATATTTTGAAAAATGCTGGAAACCTGTAATTATTAGCCACACTTTCACTATCTCGCCTAAAGCGAGCTTTCTATGGTGAGCCAGGGCCAGTCGTGTTTTCATTGTCACTTCCGGGGTCTGATCGGGCTAAATCAGGGCTTCATCAGGCCCAGCGGCTGGCATTTTTCGGCCTGGTGAATACCTTGGGCCAAAGAGGGTTAGCTGGGGATTCAGGGCAGAGTGAAAGGCGAGGCAGAGTTTGCCAAAGTCTGATAAAGGTGGCGTGCTGCCATTACACTAGTATTTCAGATTTTCCGAATTTCTATTTCCAATCGCACACGAGGACTTGCACCAAACAAATAAAAAAATAAGGGAAAGAAAATCATTAAGCTGGTCAGTTTAAGGTAGGCTATACCATAAAACACCTTATAGGCTAGAGGTCTTTTATAGTTGCCCTTATCTTTCCCTTTCAAGTGTAAAGATAATTTAAAAAATTAAAGTCGTTTTTATTTCTAAGTGATATTTCTTTGCTGCGTCCTCCTTGATGTTTCAATAACATAAAATAATCTTTACATCATATTAAAGACACAGCAGCCAGTAACTTTGAGTTGTCGAGTTTTTGTCAAGTTTAAAAGGTGAGTTTGTGCATGAAACGTGCGCGTTTAAATCGTTTGAATAATTACAAATATTGGATATAATTAAATTCACATTAAATAAATGAACCAAAATAAAACAAACAAAATCTATAACAATGTCGGCATATATTTTAAGCAAAGTTCTATAAATATTTTACAAAGGCCTATCTGAAATTTTTTTTTGGGGGATATTATCTAAAAACAATAAACAACTGAGAAGTTTAGAAATATTATTTATAAAGTATTTGGATACGATAATATTAACCAAATCGTGCAAACAGATGGGGGAGTGAAACCATCAGAAACGTTCTACTTTTGTGGCATCCAGTCTTGCGCAGTGCTGCTTTACAAAACATTGGGAAAAACAGCACGTAAAAAATGTGTTCTGTGTCCTTAAACAAATGTTTATGTTTTATTATGACGTGGTAAAAATTAAAAATGAAATTTTACATGTAGAGCTTTATTAGTGGATAACTGCTGAGCGCAATGAAATATAGGCTATATGTTATTACTTGCTCTTATGTGCTGACACACAACACTTTCCTTTAATTAAAATAAACAAATAATATGCAACATCCTTACATTTTTCTCTTAAATAAAAGGGAATGACCTAAGAGCCATATAGCTTAGGGAAAAATTTATGTTTTAGGTCTCTCCGGAGAATTTGAGCTGAATGTTTGATGGCGTCTATCAAAACGAGGATGTTATAAAATACATTTTATACCGAATTATTACCGGTTATTATTTCTGTGGTTATACATTATGGATGGGTGCGCTCACTGTGCTGGATCATCCCTCCATTAGTGGCAAGACCACTCAATGCACAATGGCAACAGTTGGTTGGCGAGTAAACAAATATAATGAATGAAAATACATAGGCCTGTGCGTATAGACATATAATGTACAGCAGGGCTATTCAATTAGTTTGTCATGGGGGCTAGTTTATGAAAAGCATCCCATACGATGGGCTGGAGAGATATGATTTGCTATATGAGTAATAACACAACTGCTTACTGCATATAAAAGCCCATATGCAGTATTTTTGCTCCACGTTGGCTTTTTCTACATTAAAATGTTAATATATTGTATTTTGAAACTACATAAAATCACTGCATAGTACAATAGACTTTTTCCTTTTTTTTTTTTTTTTTTTTTTACAAACATTCAAATGTTGTATTTCAGAGCACAACAAAAGCAGTGCATTGCTGAAGTAAGCTTCTTCTACATTCAGACACATTCATATGATACGTTTTGAACTGTATAACAATTATGGATGCAACAATAATAGATTTTAATTGTACGATTATATAGTGTGAAGAATAATCATGGTTTCACAGTTATCACGTCTCATGTAAATTCAAGCTTTATATTAGGTAAGTAGCTATTTATATTACCTGTTGTTGCCATCTGCATTCATACATACAGTACATAATTATTTTAATAATAATTCGCCTTACATATCTTTTGTTTACATTGCACTGAAAGGCACGCACAACTCTCAGCGCGAGATTTTTTCTACTGCAGCTCATGCTATATTTAACAGACGCACTTCACTTCATAACTATAGCGGCCGCTTTTCGACTGAACTAAATTTATTTTTGATGTCTTGGTCACACTGTTTGGAGGGCCAGAACAAATTGCCTCAGGGGCCGGGTTCGGGCAATTGAATAGCCCTGATGTACAGTAACGTGTCATCTGTCGTGGCCCAATAAAAGCCCTGGCTCGCACTGGCCCGACAGTGGAAATGCGACTATTGACTTCCGTTATTTTTAGGTTGATGGTTACAGGTTTTCAGCTTTCTTCAAAATATCTTCTTAAGCATTCAAAGTACAGAATAAAGAAACTCGTCAAGCTTTGGAACCACTTGAGGGTTACTTAATTGTGATCAAATTTAAATTTTAGGTGAACTGTTTCCTTTAAGAGCGTTTAAAATACAAATAAATATGTTAAGCAATCTTTTAAGTCATCAAACTGCTTCATGATTTGTCCCACAGGTGATCCTCACAGGGGATTTGGCTGAGGAGAAAGTCACCAAAATCTTCCGCTCGGTTGATTTCGGCAAAAGCTTTGTGACCTCTGAGCTTCCCTTCCATCCGTTAATGCAGATCACTTACAATCCCAAAGACAGCAACATACTCATGGTCTACAGCATCAATGTAAGACAACAGATTAGACATTATTTTTGTGCTCCTTTTATTTTGTACTAACACTCTTTTCATCTGGTTTCAGTATGACTTATGGCTGTCGAAGGACTTTGGAGCCAACTGGAAGAAGATCCATGAGAGTGTTTGTCTAGTAAAATGGTATGACCGTCAGTAATTGTAGGAATACTTGTTATTCACTGTTGTTTTATCGGCAAAAAATCAATACAAAGTAAAATATATCTTGACATAGGGCTGTGTGAATAATTGAAGGTGTTTTTCATGTCAGCAAATGTTGTGCATTTTGTCAGTAAAGCTGGTTCTGGTAAAACTCCAGCACATACTTTCAGATGGCGCAGCATTTGCTAAACAGAGTCATAGTTCACTGACAAGCTACTCAAAATCAAATTAAATTTGGAAATAAATTAAATGGGTGACGCAGTGGCGCAGTAGGTAGTGTTGTCGCCTCACAGCAAGAAGGTCGCTGGGTCGCTGGTTCGATCCTTGGCTCAGTTGGCGTTTCTGTGTGGAGTTTGCATGTTCTCCCTGCGTTTGCGTGGGTTTCCTCCGGGTGCTCGGGGTTCCCTCACAGTTCAAAGACATGCAGTACAGTTGAATTGGGTAGGCTAAATTGTTCGTAGTGTATGAGTGTGTGTGTAAATGAGTATGTGTGGATGTTTCCCAGAGATGGGTTGCGGCGGCTTAATAAAGGGACTAAGCCGACAAGAAAATGAATGAATGAATGAATGAATAAATTTAATGACCTAATACATTGAGCATAGAGCTAACGCTAACTTTGTATCCCTCTAATTGTAGATTGAGTTGTGAGATCTACAGGATGTACAGGATTTAGGCCAAATAAGTAATAATTCTGTTTTGTCTGAGTTTAAGAGAAGAAAATTGTTGGTCATCCAGACTTTAACATCTCTAATACACTCGGTTAGCTCAGACAGTTCAGACATCTCATCAGGTTTAGTTGAAATATATAATTGAGTATCATCTGCATAGCAGTGAAAGCTGATCCCATGTCTTCTCATAATGTCTCACAGTGGTAGCATGTCAATTGTAAACAGCAAAGGGCCTAAAACTGATCCTTGAGGCACCCCATACTTTACTGGGCAGATTTGTGAAGGCTGTCCATTAAGATTCACAAACTGGTAACGGTCAGTTAAGTATGACTTAAACTATTGTAGAGCCTGTCCCTGGACACCTGTAGACTTTAAGCGATTTATGTGGATATTGTGGTCATTGGTGTCAAATGCCGCACTAAGATCGAGTAAAACTAATAGCGAGACGCACCCTCGGTCATCAGCTAAGAGTAAATCATTGGTTATTTTCACTAATGCAGTTTCTGTACTGTGATGAGCCTTGAAACCTGACTGAAACACTTCAAAAATATTGTTTGTCTGCAGAAAGGAGGATAATTGAGTAGAAAAAAACTTTTGCTAGTATTTTAGACTTAATTGGAAGATTTGAAATAGGCCTGTAATTAGCTAAGTTGTTGGGGTCCAATAGCGGTTTCTTATTAATAGGCTTAATAACAGCTAGCTTGTAACAGTTTGGAACATGGCCTATAGATAAAGAAGAGTTGATAATGTTAAGAAGAGGTTCTCCTGTAGCAGGCAGGAATTCTTTCAGTAATTCTGTTGGAATTGAGTCCAGCATACACGTAGCTGGTTTAGACCTATTTATAATTTTATGTAGCTCTTCCTGTTCTATGATTTTGAAGCACTGTAGGTTATTATTATGATTCAGTGAAATATTTACAGGATTTAAAGTATAAGCCGATGTTGAAAGTTTAACATCTCCTATTTTCTGTCTAAAGCCTTCTATTTTATCACTGAAAAAATTCATGAAGTCATCACTTCTAATTTGCAGTGGAACATTTTGTTCCAAGGATGACCGATTATTTGCTAATTTAGCAATGGTTTTAAATAAAAATCTAGGATTGTTATGATTATTTTCTATCAGTTTGCGGAGGTTCTCGGCCCTGTCAGATTTTAGAGCCCTCCTATACCTGGACATACTGTCTTTGTACGCAATTCTAAAGACCTCTAGGTTCTTGACTAAAAAACTAGGTTCAACTAGGTTCTTGACTAAAAAAGCCTTAAAAGTACATTATGTTGCCCAACAATAGCAATATTTGTCAAATTGTAAAGTGTCCTCTGCTTGTTGCTGTATGTGGGCAAGGTAATACACAAGGGTGAAGACGCTGGATGAGTGCTGTTTTTTGCAGAATAATCAGCCAATCAGATTCAAGAACCTGACAGAACTGTTGTATAAATATATAGGTAAAATAAATAAGTTAAATTATTTGAATTAGGTAAAAAATATATTGGTGAAAAATATTTTGTATGCTATTAGTCACAGTTTAATCGCTAAACAGCACTATTTGAGGTTACGATTCTAATACGAAATCATATTTCATTGTCATTTCAAGCCAAGGTTATTAAATTATTTTTTCAGACGAAAAACAGCATGTCTTGGCAGAATGTTTGAGGTTTTGTTTTCCATACACTAGCAGTTAAACAGTTAAAGCACCATAAAATGCACTAGAAAGCTATTTTGACTTGCTGTTTTTGCAAAAACTATTTCTTTGAGGTTTGCAGTTCTAACTCTCATGAATATAGTCTTGGTTTCATTTCATATGCTGAAGAAATTGATGCCTTTTGCTTAAATATAAAGTCGCCATCCTTTTTAATTTGGCATCAATTTTTGGATTGTCTCCGTTTCAGGGGAATTGATGACACCATTTTCCTAACCACAAACCCCAATGGATCCTGCAGTGAGTGGCTTTATTTTAGCACAATATTCAGGATTATCTGAACAATGTTTGGAAATGAAAAGATGCTTTTTGTTCCTCGTTCATTTTTGTTTTCTCTCTCCTTTAGGTGACCGGGGGACTCTGGAATTGAGGAAATCATTAGACTATGGCAAAACATTCAAAACTATAGGAAACAGGATTTATTCTTTTGGCCTGGGTGGACGCTTTGTTTTTGCATCCATCATGACAGATTCGGTGAGCTCTTATAAATTCATATCAGTGTTAATCCAAACATTGGTTCATGTTGTCAACATGTCAGGAAGACTCTAGGGATGCCAATAATTAATCAAGGATTGATGAATTGTTATTAAATCTTTAAATTAATATACATTATTTATGGTTTTGAACTGCATGTGGCTTATATTGTAAACAAACAGCAGATGCATGAGGAAAATTAAGCAAGTATGCATTTAATTAAATCTATCCACTACTATATTTGGAGAAACAAAGTGGGGCATCAGTTTAATGTTTAGAGTTGTTGTGTTTGTTTTACATCATTCATACATTCATTTTATATTCTAAAAAGGTTGTAATCTCTTAATTGTCTAAATTAGATTGTAAATTATACATATAATTTTTTTACATCAAGTTATTTTAGTAAACAATTTAAGACTAAAACTATTGGCAAAAAAAAAACATTTTCGTTAACTAAAATAAAAATATTTAAAAAACTACAACAATAAATTATAAGCTAAATCTATCTATCTATCTATCTATCTATCTATCTATCTATCTATCTATCTATCTATCTATCTATCTATCTATCTATCTATCTATCTATCTATCTATCTGTCTGTCTGTCTGTCTGTCTGTCTGTCTGTCTGTCTGTCTCTGTCTGTCTCTGTCTGTCTGTCTGTCTCTGTCTGTCTGTCTGTCTGTCTGTCTGTCTGTCTCTGTCTCTGTCTGTCTGTCTGTCTGTCTGTCTGTCTGTCTGTCTGTCTGTCTGTCTCTGTCTGTCTGTCTGTCTGTCTCTGTCTGTCTGTCTGTCTCTGTCTGTCTGTCTGTCTGTCTGTCTTACTACCGTGCTATCTTTTTAGCTATCGTTCTGTCTATTTAGCTAACAGTTAATTTAAGCTTTGCTGTGGTTGGCTCTGAATGGGTCCTGTTAACTGTATTAAACTAGAATTACTAAAACTGAAACAAATAAATAAAAAAACTAAATAAAAGTGTGTTGATGAAATAAAAACTAAAGGGGTTTAGATTGAGATCCGATCCTTGATATCTGAGAAACTATTTTCTGATCCGGAGAAAATCAAAAACACTTGTCTTCTTCTTTTCCAGGGTTCCACACGGATGATTCATGTGTCTGTGGATCAGGGGGAGACGTGGGATATGGCTCAGCTGCCCACCGTTGGCCATGAACAGTTCTACTCCATTTTAGCTGCAAACAATGATATGGTCTTCATGCATGTAGATGAACCTGGAGGTGAAGCATTGTTTACTATTCATTATCATTGTTTTGACATGATATATGTGTGTGTGTGTGTGTGTGTGTGTGTGTGTGTGTGTGTGTGTGTGTGTGTGTGTGTGTGTGTGTGTGTGTGTGTGATGGGCACACTCGCCTCACAGCAAGAAGGTCGCTGGTACGAGCCTCTGTTGGGTCAGTTGGCATTTCTGTGTGGAGTTTGCATTTACTTCCCGTTTTGGCGTGGGTTTCCTCTGGGTGCTCAAGTTTCTGAGTTTATATATGTATATGTATATGTGTGTGTATGTGTGTATATGTCTTTCTTTTTACTGAACTAGTCTGTAGTAACCAAAACAGGAGACACTCATTACAAAAAAAAAAACAGATGGCCAACCAGAAAGTAACTCAGGCTTGTACAAAAAGTGGTCAACACAAAATACATATATTCATAATATGCGAGTCCCATCTCACACTCAATACACTTCAATTACTATGGTATAAATACAGCACTACAACATACAAAAGAGAGAGATCGACTTACGATGTCATTTACCTGTTTTATAATGATTTGATCAGCTGTAGTTTGAAATTATGCTGCGTTTATCTTCTCTAAGGGCTTATTTTGCTGTCTCTGTCGCCAACTTGTGGATGGATAACGTCAACTGTCTTTTTCCTCAGCTCAATGACAGGCTAATGGATGCCGACGTGCTGTATCTCCGAAATTATAAATATTTTAAAAAAAGGCACTATCCTTATAATAAAAAAACTGCATAGTTGCAATCTAAACAACTAACTTCTCACCTTAAAAAGTCTCAAAGTTACATTGTTGTCCAACAGCTGCAATATTTGTCATTCTGTAGAGAGTTTATTGATCTGCTGTCACTATGTGGGCGGAGTAATACAGAAGGGTGAAGAGGCTGTACGAGTGGTTGTACGTTTATTGCAGAATATCGCACAACCATCAGCCAATCAGAACCAGATTGAACTGGTGTGTACGTGTGCGTGTGTGTGTATATGTATATATATATATATATATATATATATATATATATATGTATGTAAACAACATCAGTTAAATTGTTCATTTTTCCATTATTTAAGTTGGCTTACTTTGTTTACTATTAACTTTCATTTATTTACATTTTAGTTCAGTTTTTAGTTATTTTACATTATCAGTTATCAATTTTAAATTTAATTTAAGTAGTTAATTGCAAAATTGTTTTATTTATTTATTTTTTTCATTTGTTCTTATCAAATGTTTGTAAAATGTAATGTAATTTCATACAACTATTTGAAAACATTATTAAGGGCACTTTTTAAAAATATATATTTTTGTCATTTCAAGCTCATTTAAAACAAAACACACACACACACACACACACACACACACACACACACACACACACACACACACACACACACACAAATACCATTCATGCATATAGTTTCTTATATTCCATTTAATCTTGATAGTAACAATGTTTATTTTTCTCCATCAGACTCTGGCATTGGTACCATATACATATCAGATGATCGAGGTATAGTGTTTTCCAAGTCTCTGGAGCGTCATTTGTACACCACTACAGGCGGCGACACCGACTTCACCAACATCACCTCTCTGAGAGGCGTCTATATAACCAGCGTCCTTGCCGAGGGTCAGTAAGCAGAACCACACATATTTATCAAGAGTTTATATGCAGTTCAAGTCAGAATTATTTGCCCCCTGCATATTTGTTTTCCCCTATTATTGTTAAACGGAAGGAAGGTTTTTTCAATATATTTCTAAATAATAGTTTTAATAGCTCATTTCTAATAACTGATTTATTTTATCTTTGCCATGATGACAGTAAATAATATTTTACTAGATATTTTTCAAGACACTTCTATACAGCTTAGTGACATTTAAAGACTTAACTGGGTTAATTATGTTACTTGGGCAAGTTAGGGCAATTCGGCAAATCATTGTATGACGATGGTTTGTTCAATAGACAGTCGAATAAATATAGCTTAATAATAAATAAGGCTAATAATTTTGACCTTGAAATGGCTTTAAAAAATTTAAAACTGCTTTTACTCTAGCCAAAATAAAACAAATAAAACTTTCTCCAGAAGAAAAAAATATTATAGGAAATACTGTGAAAATGTCCTTGCTCTGTTGAACATCATTTGGAAAATATTTGGGAAAAAGTAAAAATTCCCAGGAAGGCTAATAGTAATTTTGACTTGAACTGTATGTACTTATACAATAAGTACAACTTATACAACTTATACTTATGCTTGATTCTGATTGGTTGCTGAAGAGTTAATTTCAGATAAACACACAGCTAAAGTAGCTTCGGGCAGATATTGATCACATTACAGTTCCAACTTACTACCCCAAGTGTGCATTTTTTTTTCGAGTAATTTTAAGGGACCAAGATCAATTATTCTAACATCTTCTCCATCCAGACGGCTCAGTGCGGACGGTGATCACGTTTAATCAGGGTGGAGAATGGAGGCCTCTGATGAAGCCCTGGAATGGAGTGTGTGACTCCACCGCCAAACATCCCAGTGAGGTGAGAGATGCAACACACACACACACACACTGACCATCTGAACTATTAAGCCATGATCACACTGCACTTTTCGCCCCTTAGGCTTCCATTCATACCTGAAATGCGAGTTTGTGCAAAAGGTTTTGAATAGTGCTGCATTTCAAAGTTTTACCACTCTTGGAATTTGCTTCACTTTTTGTAAGGCCAATAGAGATCGAAACGTGACCTCTCTGAACAGGAATTGTAAATATGGAGCAATGGATCATTTTATCAGTTTTACTCGCCTTTTTTTGCAGCATCATACGATTTTTAGTCTCTACTGTGGCTTTAATTATCAGAGATATCGTCAAGAATGCTGTTGTTAGTTTTATTAGCAGTTTGAATGAGCTTTTATTGTAATATTTTATTTCATCAGTTTTTTACATTAAGTAGTTTATTTATTTTTCTTGTTTAATAAATCACGTTCCTTTATAAATATATAAGTATATGTTTAATTATATAACAGGTAATACTTATTTTATTTAAAGAAAAAAAGCATTTTGTGAAAAAGTTTTTTTCCATTTAAACTTTTTAAAAATAAAAACACAAAACTATCAAACATTTAATCCATGAAAGGACAGACTAATAATATAACACATCACACTGATGCAACGGTGAAGAATAGTTCACATTTCTGAGACCTTTCTCAGGGCTAAAACACTTCTAAATACAATATGAACGCTTGTAATAATGCTACTTTAGAAGTTAATCGTTAAATGACTTCTTTTTGTTCCGGAAAACAAGCACTTAAATAATAATTTTGCTGTTTGTGTGTGTCTTAAGCAACAGGAATAACGTGAATGTGTGTGATTTGTGTGTGTGTGTGTGTGTGTTTTGCAGTGTAGTCTGCATATTCACGCCTCCTACAGCATCTCTATGAAACTGAATGTGCCTATGCAGCCTCTCTCCGAGACCAACGCCGTGGGACTCGTCCTGGCACACGGTGAATAATGCCCACATTCAATATCATACACAAAACTACCACCGACATCCCAATCAAACGTCAAAAGTACACTTTCCCCCACCACATCACAACTCAAATAAACAAAAAGTAACAAATAATCAATAGATTTTAGTGGTATTCTCTCTTGTTTTATCACAGATAGTATAAGGTAGGTGTTTTAAAAGACAATCTCACAGTCATGCTGCATTTCTCTGAATTTTCTCCATCTGCTTGTGTGTTCAGGCAGTGTCGGAGGAGCCGTCTCTGTGCTTTCTCCAGACGTGTACGTGTCAGATGACGGAGGCTACACGTGGTTCCAGGCGCTGAAAGGCCCCCATCACTACGCCATCCTGGATTCAGGAGGACTGCTGGTGGCGGTGGAGCACAACCCCACACACCCCATATCACAGATCAAGTAGAGCTTTCTGTATATTACTGTATACTCTGAGACAGAAATGATACTGGGATTATATAAAATAGGGCTGCACAATATTGGAAAAAACGTACATCACGATATTTAACTTTTTTGCAACTTATTATGTGATTTTTCACAAGATAACTTAATTTTAGATTGATTGGGATGATTTTGTAGGGGAGTCGTGCAGAAATGTAACAAATTACAAGCAGAGCGGGGGGGGCGCTGGCACCGGTATGGCTTTTTTATTGTAAACTCATTTACTTGATATTTAGATTCATCAACATTAAACAGCTGTGACCTATCATCGAATTTTAAAGGGCCACGAAACACCACAACACATTTTTTGAGCTGTTGACAGTCGTATATGTGTCCCACACTACTAAAAACACTATTAGGACACATAAATTTCACAAAAAAGTGAAAATTGGTTGTTTTTGCAAATTTAGTGATTTCTAGCAAATTCGTACCTCCGGTTTGAACTGCGTCACGGCCATGAGATCTTAGCGTGTATTCCAGCGTGTTGACTGGACGTCTGTACCTGGGAGTTCTGTATTGCGTCTCTGAGTTTGTTGCATTCATTCATGAGTATAGCTTGGTTCAAACCAATCAGCGCGCTCCATTATGTATGCGCTGCCACTTCATTAATATGCATGCTAGCTTTCTTAGACTGTACCTGAAACAGTGTTCAGACGGCAGAGAGACGACACATGTCGTGTTGCCAGAAGGAGTTGGAAAAGAATAGAATTGTTTGGCGATACGGGTCGCCAGTGTTGTTTTTATAATGTGAAGGTTTTGTTTTCATTTTCTCTCTATGAGAATGCTGCTGGACTCATGTGTGGATTTCTAAGTTACTTAGTTTACAGTACGTTAATATCACAACAATATTGAAAGATCCACTGTAAATGCTGCTCTCTGTGTGTAAACACGTGAACACTGAAAGCAAACTTTTGCCGACCGTCGTGTTGAATTTTTGCCGCATTTTGTGACAGGGTAGTCTACACACACACACGGCTTTCTGACCTACTGAGTGCATCTGAGTTGCAGAGAAATGCAGAGTTTTTTTTCTCTGATATGACGTGCGGTATCAAACATTTCACCGCCTTTAAACACACTGTCTTTCTCCCCTGCGTTTGTGTTTGTTTTTCCTCGGCCAGCAGCGCATGCACAAATGGTAACTCTCATTTTTATTCAAACCCTGCCCCGACATTCCCACCCAAACAGAACTAGACACACCCACTTTCCTGACTTTTTTCAAACTAAAGGTGTAAAAACATCCTGCTGAAACGGGCGGTTTCATGGCCCTTTAATAATTATGTCTACCGAATGAAGCCGCTGTATGTAATATACCAAGCGGCAACCTCCTGCTCTCCCTCAGGAAGCCAATACGGAAGTAACTAAAACTGCAATTCATCCGAAATTCCGCTAGTCCTGGCCGCTCCTGGCTCCAAAACAGAGCAAATTTCAATTGAGCCCACTGTTAGAATGGCCAACTTTACAGCAGAAAAAAAGGTGTTTACAGCCTGGTACAAAAAAAGATTTAGGTTAATACAGCTAATATTACCCTTCATGACAACTGTGAGGGGGGTGAATTTTTTTATAACTCATCCGTTTCCTTTATATTAAGTTATATTAAGTTTGCATAATTAAGGGCGTGGCCACTTGAGTGACAGCTAGGTCTCGTTGGTCGCCGTCACGTCACCTCAGCTGAATCCTGCAGATTAGCCACTGATCTCGGCATATTTATTGTATTTCTTTGTTGTTTTATGTGGCTTTACACAGTCAACTGCCTTTTGGACTTGTTTCCTACAATTATTAGATGGCATGGCATGCTGAGTGCATTTAATTGTGCTCACAAACCGTTCATGTGGCCTCCGTTTCCCATGTGAGTAAAGTTATATACTTATATACCATCTCTATACATGTATTTGCTTTATTTAAGATCATTTATCGTTTATATTTATATTTAGAGCTGTAATGCACTCCAGAATCTGTCAGATTGATTAGCTGTAGGCTCTAGAACCGTCATCTGAAGTGTTTTCATACAGTTTTATGCTGGATTTCATCAATAGTCTTACATTAACTAACACAGACTATATCTGAAGTGTTTGGAAATAATTCGCGTTTTCCTCCTGTTGAAAAACGTCATAAGAACAATGTTTAGTGGCTCAATGTATTACAGCAGTGTTTTTAAAAGTCTAAACACTTTATTGATATAGTATACAACCAAGCACAAGTGGTCAAAATACAAACGAGGCACAGGTGATTAAAGTATTAAGCGTTTCTCCCAAAGTAAAGTGTGTCTGAACCAGGTCCAAGCAAAATGCCAGTACGTGTCTGTAGCTCCGCTCACTTTCCGCCTCTTTGCCCTTGTTTGGTATCCCGCCGTGGGTGTGGTGACCCATTGTGTTCATAAATGCAACAAAAGCATGAGTGAATAAGGTAATTCTGGAGAAAAAATAGCAGCATGCACAGATCCTCATGTAAGGCTTTTGGGCCTTCTTACCTTGAATTTTATAAGGCATTTTGCCATGCATTCCTGATGCATTACGTTGTTCATGTTTCACTAGATTTTCCACTGACGAAGGCCAGTGTTGGCATACGCATAACTTCACTGATGATCCAATATACTTCACTGGCCTGGCATCAGAACCTGGTGCCCGATCCATGAATGTCAGCTTGTGGGGCTACAGGGACACCATCCTGAATCAATACTGGGTTTCTGTCACTGTCGACTTCAGACAGCTGCTCTCTAGAGACTGTGAGTTGACTGATGTTTATAATATAACATGCAAACCTCCTAATTGAGAACATCTCATAATTTAATGTATGTTATCTTTGATTAGATAGGAAAAAAACATGTGTTAACACTGCTGTGATGTGACAAATGCTCCCCCTGCAGGCCAGGAGAATGACTACATCCAGTGGCTCGCTCACTCAAGCGATATCAACAGCCCCACGGATGGATGCGTGCTGGGATACAAGGAAAGGTTTTTACGGTTGCGAAGGGATTCGGTCTGCTGGAATGGACGGGATTATAAGGTCACCAAGGAGCCCACCACATGTCCCTGCACTCTGACGGACTTTCAGTGGTACAAACACATACACGCTTATCAAATACACTTACTTTGCTGCTTGTTTAACCTACTTGTTTAAAATGAGTTGAAACAATACAATTCTAAAGTTTGTTTTGGGACAACTTAGTTTATGTTCCATCCATTTAAATTTGCAAACATGATTGAGTTAACCTAATCAATTTGTGTTGGGATGACATGAAGGAATTGTGTGGAACTCAGCATTTTTTACGGTGTAAGATGTATATAAAACGAGGCAGTATATTGAGATTTCTACGATATATAGATTTAAATTTTCTGAAACTATATGACATGAGTGCATGTTCTCCTTGTGTTTGAGTGGGTTTCCTCCACAGTCCAAAGACATGTGACCTTATTCTAAAATGCGGAAGTGCACCTGTGTTCGCGATTGTCTTAGAACTTCCGTTTCAGTCGCATATGGGAGAAATGACAAGGAATAATAAACGGCAAAAAAGGGTCAAACTACTTGCTCTACAAACATATGTTTGCATGACTATACAGACCGAGTAGAATAATATAACAAGGAAATATCAGTTTGCAACATCAAACAGCGAAACGAGCAGTTTTTAATGTCTAAAAATGAATGGAAGTGAATAAGACCGGAAGTCTCGTGCCAAAAAGATTCAAATGGCAGCGCCCGCTCGTCTGCGGAGAATAAGGTCAATAGGTGAATTGAATATACTAAATTGTCTAGTGTATGTGCGTGAATGAGAGTCTATGGATGCTTCCCAGTACTGGATGGCAGCTGGAAGGGCATCTGCTGTGTAAAACATATGCTGGATAAGTTGGCGGTTAATTCCACTGTGGCGACCACTGATTAATAAAGGGACTAAGCCGAATGAAAATAAATGAATGAATAAATGATATGAGGCAAACAAATGCAGATTTTTCCCATATGGTTTCCATCTAGTTATTTTTTTGAGATCCAAAGAACATTTTGGCAATGGTTTCTGTAGTTTTTTTTTTAGTAACCAAAAGCAAACATTCTGGTACGTGTAGATTTTGTTGTAACAACTTAAAGAGAACCTAAAAGTAAATATTCCAGGAGCATTCTGCTAGCTAAGAGGGAGCGCTTTATTTGTGTAAAGTTTACTATCCTGACTAATCAACAGAGAATGTTTTGGGAAGGTGTAGGTACTTGTAAACTGTTAAAGTGTTTATATCGATATACGGTCAACCTTTGAAGTGGATCAAAGCATTTGGTCTATGTTGTCATAAAACTATTCAGCAACACCCATACTTGTCTTGGGACATTTTATAAAAACCTTTTCAATCAAATGTTGATGTCAGTATAATAGAGCTGTTAAATGATTAATCATGACTAACCATATACAAAATGAAACTTTTGCATTTACTTTTTTCATCTGTGGAAACCCTGCTGAAAAAAAAAACTGCTTAAACCAACCTCAGCTGGTTGGCTGGTTGACCAACCTGGTATTAGAGCAGTTTTGTAATGCATTGTAATGTGTTTTTATATAGCGCATTTATCGTTTATGGCCATATACCCAAAGTGCTTCACAATCATGAGGGGGGTCTCTCCACACCACCACCAGTGTGCAGCATCCACTTGCATGATGTGACGGTAGCCACACACAACGTATTGGTGGAGTGGAGAGATAGTGATAGAGCCAATTCAGTGTATGGGGATGATTGGGAGGCCATGATAGGTAAGGGTTGGTGGAGGGAATTTGGACAGAACACCGGGGTTACACCCCTACTCTTTTGCAGGAAGTGCCATGGGGTTTTTAATGACCACAGAGAGTCAGGACCTTGGTTTAATGTCTCATCCGAAAGACGGTGCTCTTTGACAGTATAGTGTCTTTTTCACTTCACTGGGGCTTAAGGACTCAGTTGAGCACCCCCTGCTGGCCTCACTAACACCACTTCCAATAGCAATCATGTTTTTCAATGTGATCTCCCATCCAGGTACTGACCAGGCTCAGTCCTGCTTAGCTTCAGTGAGTAAGTTTCCAGCCATTTCCAGCCTGGTCTTAGCTGGTCAAACTGGAAAATGACCAGACAAAACCAGCCAAAACCAGCTTGACCAGGCTGATTTAAGCTGGACATAGCTGGTTTTAGCTGGTCATCTCCCAGCCTGACCAGCTAAGACTAGGCTGGAAATGGCTGGAAACCAGCCTGAAATGGCCAAAACCCCCTTTAAAACCTGGCTGGTCGACCAGCTAAAACCAGCCAACCAGCCTAGGCTGGTTTAAGCAGTTTTTTTCAGCAGGAACTGAGTGACGGAAATCCATATTTCAAATGAAAACCATTTAATTCGCAAAAAGTTTGTTTTATTTATGCTCACTTGATGTGTTTTGGACTTGTCAAAAAGGGTTCATGTGAATTACGGGAGATGGAAATGCGTTTAAAGAAAAAACTCACTTGGTGAACATTATTCCTGTGTGGCCAAGCAGCTTTTTCAATCATGCTTGCCTTGTTTACAGTTGGTTATTAGGTGACCAATACTACAGTCAGCCACTCTAACAACAATTAGATTAAAACTCACATAATTCACATTTAGGATTTTTTATTTATTTTTTTGCAAACTTTGAAAAGATTTGCTTAATGTTAGGATGGAATTCGGCTAGTGTTAAATGTAATGTTATTTTAATGCTTTATTGCACAAAATGCAAATAGTTAAGCAAATACAGATTATTTTTAATCCAAATACAGAAAATTTTAAATATTTAGGTGTAATTCAACCAGAAAATACTGATATTTTTTCAGATGTATCACCCAGCCTTTATTCAGCCTGTGCATCCTATTCTATTTCTACAGTGATTTTGGGTTCTACCATGAGGAAAACAGCTCAGTGTGTGTGGAGCAGCCTGACCTTATTGGCCATTCACTGGAGTTCTGTCTGCATGGACGCAAAGAGCAGCTTCAAACCAGCGGGTAACAAATCACTCTCTATCTCTGCTCCACTGAGTTTAATTGAGGAGTTCATCCGGTGTTAGCTTTTTGGTTTTACACATATTGCTGTCTTGGCTAAAGTTTGATTGACTGAACTAACTTGCAGAACTCTTAAATATCAAGCTGTGTTCGTTGTCACAGAACTATTTAAATGAATCAATTTAATTCAAGTTTATTTATATAGCACTTTTCACAAAATTGTTTCAAAGCAGCTTTACAAAAGGTACACATTATTGTATTACAATCAAAATCAGAAAAGTTAAGATTATTAGGTACCATAACTTTATTAGCTACTTATAACTTTAACTAATTAACTAGAAAGTAATAGTTTTTAACAGTTCAGTTCGCTCACCGGCCACTTTATTAGGTACACTCTACTAGTACCAGATTGGACCCCCTTTTGCCTGCAGAACCGCCTTAATCCTTCATGGCATAGATTCAACAAGGTACTGGAAATATTCCTCAGAGATTTTGGTCCATATAGACATGATAGCATTATGCAATTGCTGCAGATTTGTGCCACGTTCAAAGTCACTTACATCACCTTTCTTCCTGATTCTGATGGTTTGAACTGCAAATCAGCTTGACCATGTCTACATGCCTAAATGCATTGAGTTGCTGTCATGTGATTGGCTGATTGGAAATTTGCAACAAGCAGTTAGACAGGTGTACCTAATAAAGTGGCCGGTTAGTGTATATAATCATAGTTAACCTGCAGTTATATAGTAAATAGGTGCAATGAAATGCAGACTCAACACTCTGTTACCTGTTATTTACAGTTACCGGAAAATACCCGGTGATCACTGTGAGGAAGGAATAACTCCAGAACGGAAAGAGATCGACCTGAGTAAGAAATGTGTCAGTAATCTGCTGAGGACAGAGCAACTGGTAGGTTTTTATTTTAATAACAGAATGCACATTAGCATCATTACTTAAGTCTTCGGTGTCACATAATCCCTCAGAAATCATTCTGAAATGCTAACTTGATACTCAAATCATGTTTTAAGGGGGCTTTAATGAATTGGAAGTTTTAAAGAACATCATTTATCCTTTAAACTATCCCAGCTGAAAAAAATAAGACTTTTATTATTCCTGGTTAATTAAAAAAGCCTCTAAAATGATCTTTCCCATCATGCATTTTTCAGACAAAGGAACACTCATTCAATTCAGCTCCTATAATCGCCGTGGTCATCATTGTTCTGTTGATCAGTGCTGTTGCTGGGGTCATTTTCATCAAAAAATACGTCTGTGGAGGAAGGTTTGTGCACAAACTAAACATCTCATCCTAAACATTATATGCCACTGTGCAGGATTTTCTGTTTAATTTTGATTTAATTGGTAACACTTTAATTTAGGTCACAATTCACGGTATTGACAAACTATTAACTACCACTTCCAGCTTAATAAACCACTACTTAGCTGCTTATTAATAGTTAGTTAGGTAGACGTTGGGTTTCGGTTTTGGGATTAGGGATGCAGAATAAGGTCATACTTTGTATGACTACTAATGAACAGTTAACATCTTGATAATAGGCAGGTAATAGGCAAGTAGTTAATAGCATGAATTGTGGCCTAATTTAAAATGTTACCCTTATGTTAATATTAAGGGATTGTTTTACTGTGCAACATACAGTTGAAGTCAGAATTATTAGCCTCCATGAATTATTAGCCCTCCTGTTTATTTGTTTCCTTAATTTCTGTTTAATGGAGAGCAGATTTTTTCAACACATTTCTAAACATAATAGTTTTATTAGCTCATCTCTATTAACTGATTTCTTTTATCTTTGCCATGATGACAGTAAATAATATTTTACTAGGTGTTTTTCAAGAGGATTAACTAGATTAATTAGGTTAACTAGGCAGGTTAAGGTAATTAGGTATGCTATTGTATAACGATGTTTTTTTTTTCTGTAGACTATTGAAAAAATATAGCTTAAACAGGCTAATAATTTTGACCTTAAAATGGTGTTTAAAAAATTCAAAACTCCTTTTATTCTAGCCAAAACAAAACAAATCAGACTTTCTTCAGAAGAAAAAATATTATCAGACATACTGTGAAAATTTCTTTTCTCTGTTAAACATAATTTGGGAAATATTAAAAATAAAAATAAAAACTGAAAGGGGGGGTAATAATTCTGACTTCAACTGTATATAAGCAGTATCTTCATTAATTATTGCATTTATTCGCACATGTATAACATCTGTGTCATGACCCCTTTTTGACATCTTTGGTAGATTCCTGGTGCACAGATACTCCGTATTACAGCAGCATGCAGAAGCAAATGGTATAGATGGTTTGGATGACCTGGACACACTGGAGGGGGGCAAAACGCACTATCATGATGATTCAGATGAGGTACATACTGCAACCTAGTCTGATTTCGGCAGTGTTTGTATAGTGCTTTTCACAACAATAATAGTCTCAAAGCAGCTTTGCAAAAGGTGCACATTAAAGCAATACAATCAAATTCGGAAAAGTTAAGGGTATTAGTTACCATAACTTTATTAGTTGCTAATAACTTTAATTAACTAGTAACTTATAGCTTTTAACAGTTAAAGTTATTCTAAATAAACCGTTAACCTGCAGTTATATAGAATATTGGTGTGGTGATGTCTATGTGTAAATGTTCAATGAAGCATATTTGTGTATTACGTGATTGGTCAGCTTCAATACTATTTTTTTAGGGATGCACCATATATCAGCGGCCATATCGTTATCTGCCAATAAATGCTATTTTTAAGATTATCGTTATCGATCTGATGTCTATATTAGGCCGATATCTTTAAGCTGATAGATTATATAATTGTACAGAACTACCAGACTTGTCCAGTGCTCTATAATGGATCTCTCCTCACATTGTTTATTCCTTCGAAGTCTGTCCTTTCTTTATGTGGTATTGCTGTGTGTTAATAACTCAATAGGTAACCATGTTCCTCATCATTGTAGATATGTTTGACAGTGTCATTGTGTATTTTGGTTTAAATCGCCTCAGGAAAAACATTACATGTGTGTAAACATAATAGCAGAGATGCACACGTGCTAAACAACTTGTTGGGTTGTTTGTAATCTAATATGATTATTTGTTCTTATCAAGGCATTGCTTGCCATGTGTTGATGGAGTAAGATTGTATTCAGTTTGATCGGAATATTCATATTGATTATAACGAACGCTTGTGAGGGATATTACCACACACACAGCCTTCACCACACCACAGGGGAGAGGTGTGCCAGTCACTGAATCCAGCATAGGGGTTCTCAGCTGACCGCCACAGTCTCTCTTTATAATATGCACTGTGGTTGTCATGAAGTCATCTGTGCTCAGTGCTCAGGTGTTGTATCAAAATCTCACTCCGAGGGCAAATCTGCGCCTGCAGTTGAGTGAAACTCTCAGCAGTTTATCATAAACTTTTCATCGATCATTAATAAAGCAAATGACAGCAAATCTTAAGAGTTATCGGTTCTTGATATCAGCTAAAACATCCATATCGGCTCATCCCTACTTTTTTAAAATCTTTTTTTTTTCTTTATCTATTTCATGTCTGCAATATGAGTGTCCAAGTGCCTAATTTAGGCGGGTTTATGCAAATTAGTTAGTCTAAAAATTCCGAAATATCATTAATCATTAATAAAGGCTCCTTCCTTTGGGACATTATAGTTACTCATTATGTGCTTTTTTCTGATAAATAACTTTGCAGACTGTTTGCATTAAAGGGTAGCTACGTTACAAAAATCAAATATGATATTTTTCAAAAATCCACTGCCTCGCATGGTTCAGGATTGGTAGAGCTACGCATCGATGAATTTGCTCTTAAGTGTTTGAACTCTCAGTAATGATTAAATCACACTGAACTGAGCTAAACTGAACTGAACTGAACTTAAACACTAAAACCTGAACCACACTGTTTCAGTTACTGAACCACACTGTTCCAGTTACTATGACCATTTATGTGAAGCTGCTTTGACACAATCTACATTGTAAAAGCGCTATACAAATAAAGCTGAATTGAATTGAAAAATCCACGTGACCTGCACTTCAACACTGTTATTATATTTGTATTATCCGCAGGACCTTTTGGAGTGACACATGGATCATCATAAGACTGTATCAAACGAGAGAAACCACAATGCCTACCCTTCCCATGATGTTTGTGTGTGTGTGAATTTACAATTACACACATACCAGATTTTGCCACACACTCTTCTGCCCAGCCCAGTTGAGGACAGTTTTCCAGCAATTCAAGCAGGGTTTGACTACAAGGACAGAAACAAAAAAACATATTCCCAGAACAGGTTGCTGATCCACTGCTGAAAGAGTCTTTTTATATTGTTTCACACTATATATTTGTATTTGAGATGCACAAACTAATGTTGTTGCTGTGTATTTCACATTTATGAGCTGACACGTAAAATGAAAACATGTGGCTGAAAAGTGTAGTTTATCCAAAAAAGACATGTCATCGGTTACTTATCCTCCACTTGTTCCAAACATCCTCCACTTGTTGTTGAGTTTCTTTCCTATAGATATTTTTAAGAAGGATAGAAACCAGAAGACATTAACACTCATAGTATTTGTTTTTCTTACTATGGATGTCAATGGTTACCGGTTTCCAAAATTCTTCAAAATATCTTCTTTTGTATTAAACAAAAAAATGAGTCTCATAAAGATTCTCTCATTTAGATATTTTCAAGAAAGATAAAAGCCAGAACACATTGACTCCCATAGTATTTTTTTACTATTATAGATGTCAATAGTTACCGGTTTCCAACATTCTCCAAATATATTTGAAAAAAAAAAAAAAAAAAACGAATCCCATAAAGATTGTTTCATGTAGATATTTTCAAAAAGGATGCAAACTGGAAGACACTGACTCCCATGGTATTTGCTTTTCCTACTATGGAAGTCAATGGTTACTGGTTTCCAAAATTCTTCAAAATATCTTCTTTTGTATTCAATAGAAAAAACAAATCCCATAAAAAATTCTTTCATATAGATAATTTTAAGAGGGATCGAAACTGGAAGACACTAACTGCCTTATTATTTGTTTTTCCAACTATGGAAGTCAATGGTTACCCGTTTCCAACATTCTTCACAATATCTTATTTTGTGTTCAACAATAAAATTAATCCCATAAAGATTCTTTCATTTAGATATTTTCAACAAGGATGTAAACTGGAAGACACTGACTCTCATAGTATTTGTTTTTCCTACTATGGATGTCAGTGGTTACCGGTTTCCATCATTTTTCAAAATATCTTCTTTTGTGTTTAACAGAAAAAAAAACGAATCCTATAAAAATCTGAAACCACTTGAGGATGAGTAAATGATGGATAAATGTTCATTTTTGGTTGACCTATCCCCTTAACTACAGTAAGTTGTGTTTTGCAAGCCATCCTAATTGAAGTATGATTTAAAAGAGGAAAAGAGAGAGTGGTTCAAATTGATTCAAGTGCTTTTTTCTTTCATGCATCAGGTATTTATACTTCACCAAAGGATTTTCTTTTCTTTATTTTGCATATTAGGAAACCGGGTTGAAGTCTGCTTAGTAGCACACTATGCACTTGGCATATCTTGTATGCACAAATAATTCTTCTATTTCAGTATTACCGAAGCTGATTTTTGTTTGGTACATAGTCTCGTGATGCAAGAAAGGATTGGAGAAATGGCACATTGCGTGGTTTTCAATCATAATAATAGTATTTCGCACCTTATAATGGAGAATAAGTGAGTGAATTAAACATAACAGCAGTGCAGGGCCAGTCTCAATAGTTGTATATTCAATACGGACAAAATGTTTAATGTTAACTCTGACATTAAATGTGTTTTTTCAGAAAAGGAGTTCATCCTTCATTGGGATGTCGATAGTATTACACACCTCTAAATATCAGCCTAATCAAATATGAAAGTGTATATTTTTAGACTGTATTGGTTGGCGATTCATAAATAAGCTAATGTGTAGTCAGTAATCTGATTCGAGTGCATTTTCTTCCTTTTTTTTTTTTTGTTGCACAGATAATAAATAGATACCTCAGGGGTTATAGTTGACAGTGGACCACACATTTCATTGATGGGTTTGCATGTTGAATAAAGGGTCCTCGAGTTTCAGATGGACTTTCTGAAGTCAAAGTGTAAAATGCTGTACCATTAAATGTGACTGCCAAGAATAATAATTAAAAAAAACAATCTTCTTGAAGTCTGTCTACGCTTGTTGATTGGAAGGAAATCGTTTTAAATTGAACTGATTTGCATTACAATAGTTGCATGCTAAAATATTATTGTGTGTGTACACTTACCGGCCACTTTATTAGGTACACCTGTCCAACAGCTTGTTAACGCAAATTTCTAATCAGCCAATCACATGGCAGCAACTCAGGCATGTAGACAATGGTCAAGACGATCTGCTGCAGTTTAAACTGACCCGCAGAATGGGTGCAAGAAAGGTGATTTAAGGGACTTTGAATGTGGCATGGTTGTTGGGGCCGGACGGGCTGGTCTGAGTATTTCAGAAACTGCTGATCTACTGGGATTTTCACGCACAACCATCTTTAGGGTTTACAGAGAATGGTCCGAAAAAGAAAAAAATATGCAGTGAGCGGCAGTTCTCTGGGTGCAAACAAATGTCTAGTTGATTCCAGAGGTCAGAGGAGAATGGCCACACTGGTTACAGCTGATCCAAATAACCACTGTTACAACTGACGAATGCAGAAGAGCATCTCTGAACGCACAACACGTCCAACCTTGAGGCAGATGGACTACAGCGGCAGAAGACCACACCTGTGGTCACACAAGTGCCACTCCTGTCAGCTAAGAACAGGAAACTGAGGTGACAATTCACACAGGCTCACCAAAATTGAACAATAGAAGACTGGAGAAACGTTGCCTGGTCTGATGAGTCTCGATTTCTGCTACGACATTCAGATGATCGGGTCAGAATTTGGCGTCAACAATATGAAAGCATGGATCCGTCCTGCCTTATTTCAATGGTTCAGGCTGGTGGTCGTGGTGTATGGTTTGGGGGATATTTTCTTGGCACACTTTGGGACCATCAGTACCAATTGAGCATTGTGTAAACACCACAGCCTTCCTGAGTATTGTTGCTGACCATGTCCATCCCTTTATGACCATAGTATACCCATCTTCTCATTGCTACTTCCAGCAAGATAACACGACATGTCATAAAGCGTGAATCATCTCAGACTAGTTTCTTGAACATGACAATAAGTTCACTGTACTCAAATGGCTTCTACAGTCACCAGAGCTCAATCTAATAGAGCACCTTTGGGATGTAATGAAACGGGAGATTAGCATCATGGATGTACAGCGGACAAATCTGCGGCAACTGCGTGATGTTATCATGTCTATATGGACCAAAATCTCTGAGGAATATTTGCAGTGCCTTGTTTAATCTTTGCCACAAATGATTAAGGCAGTTCTGAAGGCAAAATTAGGTCAAACCCAGTAATAGTAAGGTGTTCATAATAAAATGGCCAGTCACTGTATATACAGTTGAAGCCAAAATTATTATTAATATTAATTTAAATCATTAAAATATTTCATGTGGAATGTAGAGACCAGAGATTTCTACACATTTTTCTAATATAATAGCGTTAATAACTAATTTCTTATAACTTATTACATTTGTCTTTACTGTGATGACAGTACATAATATTTTTCTCATTATTTATTTACTTGCTTTTATAACTTGGGAAATATATATTTTTTAAATTCAGGAATATGTATATATATATATATATATATATATATATATATATATATAGATAGATAGATAGATAGATAGATAGATAGATAGATAGATAGATAGATAGATAGATAGATAGATAGATAGATAGATAGATAGATAGATAGATAGATCATTGTACTAATAAAAATACAGCAATAAAAACTATAAATGTCGATATCAAATATGAAAAAAGTCCTAATTTTTTATTGATCATTTTTGTTTCTGTAATTCTTCTTGTCGTAATGCATACTATTTGTTTCTTTTGATTATTATCCATATAGATTGTCCTCGTTTATTAATTCTGCATCTCTTTGCATTTCTCTTTGTCCTTTCACATTCTCTCAGTCTTGTGAGACGCGCATATGTTTAAAGGGGGTGTGGCCTTTGTCTTGCGGGAGGGGCGTTGGAGCTTCTGTTCATCGTTTTTTTTCTCTGTGCGCCATTTTGGCTCCTGATCGAGACGAGTTGTGTGATTGGGCTCCAGGCGCCGCTATCGGAGCCAATCAGAGGTGAAACGGGCGGCGGAGCAGACGGTGAGTGAGCGCGGCTGCTGGGAGGGGACGGGACTCGGTCGGTTAGCTGGGGATTGGTGTGTGACCGACCAACCAAATGACTAAAATCATTATAAACAGGAATAGTGCTGATTGTGTATGTCAAGGTCCAGTGTGTGGACGGCACGCGCGTGCATGTCTACCAATATGTGCTTAAAAAGATAAACAATGATGTTGAATAGTTTATTTTAGCTGTTTAGGCAGAGCTAGCTTGTCAGAGAGGCCCAGTTTTGCGTAGCTCTTTGTTACATTCTCACACTTTACCAGTGTCCAAGCGGTCAAACGGAGACAATATGTCGATATGATGGTTTAAAGCAACCAAATTGGTTACTCAACTGATTGTTTTCTGTCATAAGATTTGCTTTACGCGGAAAATTATCGTTACGCGTGATAACTGAGGTGGCTTTGCTAATGTAACGTTAGCCCAAGCAATGTCGGACAAAGAGAAAACGAACCGCCGCGTGTTTTTTTTAAACACACAAACACAGTGATGTCGAATATTCATGTTTAAAATTAGCTGCTGGCAGTATTACTTTTAATTGAGAGAAACCTGTATGTTTGCACACTAAAAAAGCGTCTGGGATATAAAGACGCGATGCGTTAAACTGAACAACAGATAACATTGGATGGTCACAGAAACTAGCACCGAAACCTTTTGTGCTGCTTTTAGGAATAAAAATCAATTTTCAGCCGTTTCTTATGTTTTACTTTGACCAAACGTTGTCGTGCTATTAGCTTGTATTTCATGCGCAGAATAAAATATGGATGAAATATGACCGCAGTCAAGTGAGCCGCCACATGAGAACAACCGGTCAAGCTAGCCACCTCCAGTATTTTATGGCACTTCTGTTTGAGGAATTACGGTACAGAAGCTAGAGCAGTCAAAAACCTCACAAAGACATATATTTCAGCGGTTATTGGCCAAATGTGTCTAGTAAAAAGAAAACATGCATTAATTAAATCATAAATGTACCTTTTAAAATAAATATGAAAATATAGAACATTGAAATACATTTATTGCAGACTTTTTTGAAGTTTTGCGAAAGTCTGCCAGAATAATTTAACACTGATTGAATTCATGCTTTTTTCACTGATATTAATAATTTCTTTAGACTTGACATGACATTTATGTCAATTTACAAGGCAAAAACAAAATGAAGTCTGCAAAAAACACCTGTTTTTTACTGCTATTGCTGAGAATTCTGCCATAGTTGACATGAAATATTCAATTAATTCTATTTCAGGATGACCTTGAATCAATTTCCATGCCAAAGGTGATTGGCATTTACAGCTGAATATGGCAGAAAAATAAAGGCAAAGTCTGCAAGAATACATCACTGATCATTTTCTGCTTTTTATACATGTACTAATAAAATTTCTTCAGAGTTGACAAGACATTTCAATAAATTCTAATTCAGGATGACCTTGATTCTTTCCATGGGAAATTTTATTGGCATTTACAGCTGAATATGGCAGAAAAATAAAGTGTGGAGAAGTACATTACATCACTGATTTTTTTTCTTGCTTTTGAGTTGACATGAAATATTCAATGAACTCTGAATCAGGATGGCCTTGACTCTTTACACACCAACTTTCATATAGAATTACTGCTGAATTTGGCAGAAAAATGGAGACAAAGCAAAAAAATTACATCACATCATCTTCTGCTTTATTTACATGCACTATTGAAATTCTGTTAGAGTTGACAAAAAATGTCAAATCAATTCTAATTCAGTATGCCCCTGACTCTCCCCATGCCAACATTCTTAATGATTTACAGCTGAATTTGGCAGAAAAATAAAGATAAAGTATGGAAAAGTACATTACATCACTGATCATTTCTTGCATTTTCTACTGCTATAATTAAAAATTCTTCAGAGTTGACATGAATTATTCAATAAATTCTCATTTAGGAGGACACTGACTCTTTACATACCAACTTTCACAAAGAAATACTGCTGAATTTGGCAGAAAAATAAGGACAAAGTCTGTAAAAATATTACATTACTGATCATTTCTTGCATTTTCTACTGCTATAATTAAAAATTCTTTACAGTTGACATGAAATAATTAATAAATTCTCATTTAGGAGGACACTGACTCATTACATACCAACTTTCACATAGAAATACTGCTGAATTTGGCAGAAAAATAAGGACAAAGTCTGTAAAAATATTACATTACTGATCATTTCTTGCATTTTCTACTGCTATAATTAAAAATTCTTTACAGTTGACATGAAATAATTAATAAATTCTCATTTAGGAGGACACTGACTCATTACATACCAACTTTCACATAGAAATACTGCTGAATTTGGCAGAAAAATAAGGACAAAGTCTGTAAAAATATTACATCACTGATCATTTCTTGCTTTTTCAAGTCATATAATTAAAAATTCTTTAGAGTTGGCATGAAATAATTAATAAATTCTCATTTAGAAGGACACTGACTCTTTACATACCAACTTTCACATAGAAATACTGCTGAATTTGGCAGAAAAATAAGGACAAAGTCTGTAAAAATATTACATCACTGATCATTTCTTGCTTTTTCAAGTCATATAATTAAAAATTCTTCAGAGTTGACATGAAATAATTAATAAATTCTCATTTAGGAGGACACTGACTCTTTACATACCAACTTTCACATAGAAATACTGCTGAATTTGGCAGAAAAATGGAGACAAAGTCTACCAAAAAAAATTACATCACATCCTTTCTTGCTTTTTCTACTATTTATAACTAAAATTCCTTCAGAGTTGACATGAAATAATTAATAAATTCTAAATGAGGATGACATTGACTCTTGCCATGGCTTTTTTTTATTTAGATTTAAATTTATAGCATTTACAGCTGATTTGTTTTTAGAAAAATAAAGTGTGCAAGAGAACATTGTGCAGAAGGAAAAAAGATTTATCCAAAACCAATGTTAACCAACTTAAAACGCAGGTTCAGTCATTAGGCCAAAATCATTTACTATGATTTACAAGTTGAAAAAGTTTTCTGAAGCTTGTGAAAATTTGTCTTCAGAATGTTTTTAATTTAAACAGTAGGCTATAGCCTACGTTGCTTTTTTTTAGGCCTATATGCACAATTTCCAAAGTGTTTTGAGTATAATGTTAAAAGTAATTTTTAAAAAATAAAAGTAATCACTTTTGTTAAATTTAATTTCTGAAACCAAATGTAATTTTTTAGACAATAAATAAATCAGTTTTATCCAGGCTATATAAAAGTAAATGTTATTGTAAGTGGTTTTTATTTTGTTAACAATATACAAAAATATGGAAGATTCTTAATAATATTATAAAAAGAAAGTAAACATCATTCATTCATTCATTCATTCATTTTACGTAGTCCCTGACTAATCGGGTCGCCACAGAAAGGACATATCTTTCAATGTAAATTAAGTAGGCTAAGAAAAAGATGAACAATTGTAAGAAAATAAGCTATTAGTTTGTCCTCAAATGTCCTCATGCAACTCATATTGCAAAAAATGAAATTGAATAAAAAAAATAATTGTAGACTAAGGCGTAAGGTGGCGCATTGGGTTGCATGATTACTTCACAGCAAGAAGGTCGCTGGTTCAAACCTCAGCTGGGTCAATTGGCATTTCTGTGTGGAGTTTGCGTGTTCTCCCCTTGTCCTTGTGGATTTCTTCAGGATGCTGCAGTTTCTCCCACAAGTCCAAAGACGTGCTATAGGGGAATTGAGTTAGCTAAATTGGCCATAGTGTATGTGTGATTGGATGTGTATGGGTGTTTCCCAGTGATGGGTTGCAGCTGGAAGTTCATCCACTGTGTAAAACGTGCTGGATAAGTTGGCGGTACATTCCACTGTGGCGACCTCGTATTAATAAAGTGACTAAGCTAAAAAGAAAATGAATGAATAAAGAATATGAAATTAGGTGTGTTGTAATGTATTTTAAGATACTTTATATAAAATGTTTACCATAAAACCGTCTGAAACTTAAAATAGACAGAATCTTTTTTTTTAAGAGTATTTATCAAAAACACCATGTTAACGCCAAAGCATAAAAAGCCATAAGAAAAAAATCTGTTATAATCAGTGATGCATGTTGGCAGTCAAGGTCATTTTGAAGAATAAATTGTTGAACAATTCTTGCCAACTGAGAGAATTTCAATAAATAGCAGTAGACAAGCAGGAAACGGTCAGTAATGCATTATTGCAGATTTTTATGTTTAATTTTCTGCCAAATTCAGTTGTATAGCCTAGAGTTAATATGTAAGAGTCAGTTTCATACTAAATGAGAATTTATTTATTATTTTCTGTCGACTGTAATAGCAGTAGAAAAGCAAGAAATGATCAGTGATATAATGTACTTTGGCATAATTTATCTTTATTTTTCTGCCAAATTCAGCAGTATTTCTTTATTGAATTTTTATTCTTTATTCTTTATTGAATTTATTGAATATTTCATGTCAACTTTGAAGAATTTTTAATTATATGACTTGAAAAAGCAAGAAATGATCAGTGATGTAATGTACTACTCTATACTTTGTCCTTATTTTTCTGCCAAATTCAGCAGTATTTCTATGTGAAAGTTGGTATGTAATGAGTCAGTGTCCTCCTAAATGAGAATTTATTAATTATTTCATGTCAACTGTAAAGAATTTTTAATTATAGCAGTAGAAAATGCAAGAAATGATCAGTGATGTAATATTTTTACAGACTTTGTCCTTATTTTTCTGCCAAATTCAGCAGTATTTCTATGTGAAAGTTGGTATGTAAAGAGTCAGTGTCCTTCTAAATGAGAATTTATTAATTATTTCATGTCAACTCTAAAGAATTTTTAATTATATGACTTGAAAAAGCAAGAAATGATCAGTGATGTAATGTACTTCTCCATACTTGATCTTTATTTTTCTGCCAAATTCAGCAGTATTTCTATGTGAAAGTTGGTATGTAAAGAGTCAGTGTCCTCCTAAATGAGAATTTATTAATTATTTCATGTCAACTGTAAAGAATTTTTAATTATAGCAGTAGAAAATGCAAGAAATGATCAGTGATGTAATATTTTTACAGACTTTGTCCTTATTTTTCTGCCAAATTCAGCAGTATTTCTATGTGAAAGTTGGTATGTAAAGAGTCAGTGTCCTCCTAAATGAGAATTTATTAATTATTTCATGTCAACTCTAAAGAATTTTTAATTATATGACTTGAAAAAGCAAGAAATGATCAGTGATGTAATATTTTTACAGACTTTGTCCTTATTTTTCTGCCAAATTCAGCAGTATTTCTATGTGAAAGTTGGTATGTAAAGAGTCAGTGTCCTCCTAAATGAGAATTTATTAATTATTTCATGTCAACTCTGAAGAATTTTTAATTATAGCAGTAGAAAATGCAAGAAATGATCAGTGATGTAATATTTTTACAGACTTTGTCCTTATTTTTCTGCCAAATTCAGCAGTATTTCTATGTGAAAGTTGGTATGTAAAGAGTCAGTGTCCTCCTAAATGAGAATTTATTAATTATTTCATGTCAACTCTAAAGAATTTTTAATTATATGACTTGAAAAAGCAAGAAATGATCAGTGATGTAATATTTTTACAGACTTTGTCCTTATTTTTCTGCCAAATTCAGCAGTATTTCTATGTGAAAGTTGGTATGTAAAGAGTCAGTGTCCTCCTAAATGAGAATTTATTAATTATTTCATGTCAACTCTAAAGAATTTTTAATTATATGACTTGAAAAAGCAAGAAATGATCAGTGATGTAATATTTTTACAGACTTTGTCCTTATTTTTCTGCCAAATTCAGCAGTATTTCTATGTGAAAGTTGGTATGTAAAGAGTCAGTGTCCTCCTAAATGAGAATTTATTAATTATTTCATGTCAACTCTGAAGAATTTTTAATTATAGCAGTAGAAAATGCAAGAAATGATCAGTAATGTAATTTTTTTGCAGACTTTGTCTCATCTTTTCTGCCAAATTCAGCAGTATTTCTGTGTGAAAGTTGGTATGTAAAGAGTCAGTGTCCTCCTAAATGAGAATTTATTAATTATTTCATGTCAACTCTGAAGGAATTTTAATTACAGCACTAGAAAAAGCAGGAAATGATCAGTGATGCAATATTTTACAGACTTTGTCCTTATTTTTCTGCCAAATTCAGCAGTATTTCTATGTGAAAGTTGGTATGTAAAGAGTCAGTGTTCTCCTAAATGAGAATTTATTGAATATTTCATGTCAACTCTGAAGAATTTTTAATTATATGACTTGAAAAAGCAAAAAAATGATCAGTGATGTAATGTACTACTCTATACTTTGTCCTTATTTTTCTGCCAAATTCAGCAGTATTTCTTTGTGAAAGTTGGTATGTAAAGAGTCAGTGTCCTCCTAAATGAGAATTTATTGACTATTTCATGTCAACTCTGAAGAATTTTTAATTATAGCAGTAGAAAATGCAAGAAATGATCAGTGATGTAATGTACTTTTCCATACTTTATCTTTATTTTTCTGCCAAATTCAGCTGTAAATCATTAAGAATGTTGGCATGGGGAGAGTCAGGGGCATACTGAATTAGAATTGATTTGACATTTTTTGTCAACTCTAACAGAATTTCAATAGTGCATGTAAATAAAGCAGAAGATGATGTGATGTAATTTTTTTGCTTTGTCTCCATTTTTCTGCCAAATTCAGCAGTAATTCTATATGAAAGTTGGTGTGTAAAGAGTCAAGGCCATCCTGATTCAGAGTTCATTGAATATTTCATGTCAACTCAAAAGCAAGAAAAAAAATCAGTGATGTAATGTACTTCTCCACACTTTATTTTTCTGCCATATTCAGCTGTAAATGCCAATAAAATTTCCCATGGAAAGAATCAAGGTCATCCTGAATTAGAATTTATTGAAATGTCTTGTCAACTCTGAAGAAATTTTATTAGTGCATGTATAAAAAGCAGAAAATGATCAGTGATGTATTCTTGCAGACTTTGCCTTTATTTTTCTGCCATATTCAGCTGTAAATGCCAATCACCTTTGGCATGGAAATTGATTCAAGGTCATCCTGAAATAGAATTAATTGAATATTTCATGTCAACTATGGCAGAATTCTCAGCAATAGCAGTAAAAAACAGGTGTTTTTTGCAGACTTCATTTTGTTTTTGCCTTGTAAATTGGCATAAATGTCATGTCAAGTCTAAAGAAATTATTAATATCAGTGAAAAAAGCATGAATTCAATCAGTGTTAAATTATTCTGGCAGACTTTCGCAAAACTTCAAAAAAGTCTGCAATAAATGTATTTCAATGTTCTATATTTTCATATTTATTTTAAAAGGTACATTTATGATTTAATTAATGCATGTTTTCTTTTTACTAGACACATTTGGCCAATAACCGCTGAAATATATGTCTTTGTGAGGTTTTTGACTGCTCTAGCTTCTGTACCGTAATTCCTCAAACAGAAGTGCCATAAAATACTGGAGGTGGCTAGCTTGACCGGTTGTTCTCATGTGGCGGCTCACTTGACTGCGGTGAAATATGACATCATGTGTTTTATTAACCTAAAACACTGTGTAATGTTCATTTTTACTGCTAGTTATTAAAAGGCCCATTTTAAAGTGTTTTAATTGCAATTACTTTATGTAATGGAATGCAAAAGAAATAGTAAACCTGTAGGAACGTCATTTTCATAATCATACAGCTCAACCTAAAAAAATGTTGAGGTAACGCTGGTTTTATATTCACACATTCAGATTTTCTCCTTAATATAATTTCAGAAAAGTATCCTTTGCAAATCCTAAACAGGGAAATCATATTAGCAGCCAATATTAACGTACAACAGTGTTTTGGGGCAATTAAGTAACGTTAGTGCTAATGTTGTGTCAAAGTCATATTTAAATGCAATTTCAGACCCAATATTGTGTGAGAAGTTGTCACTGGACGAATGTGCGAATACAAAACTAACTCTTAAAAATAAAGATACAATGGCACACATGGGAAAAAATGTGCAGCTCCCTACAGTTTCCCCTAATAATTTCTTGCTTCATTTGTGCCTTATTTGTAAGACTAAAAATACTATTTTATTAATCTAAAACAGACTTGTATTGAAATTGTTGAAAAGTATTGTAGTCATATAATGTACAGTTATAACTATGTATAACTACATTATTATAATAAAGGCATAGTTCACCTAAATATCACATTTCTGCCATTATTTACTCACCCTTCACTTAAAAAAAATATTTGAGTTTCTTTTTTTCTGTTAAACAAAAAAGAAGATATTTTGAAGAATGCTAGTTTCGACTTCCATGATAGAATAATTGATTATCTTTGGAGGTCAACAAACCATTTTTTAAAAATATGTTCTGTTCAACAGAAAACAGAAACTCAAATGTATAAAACTGCAAGTGCAAGAGTAAATGATGAGGATGTTTATTAATTATCCCTTAAAAATGGGCCTTATATATATTGTTTGTTTATATAGTACTAAAATTTAGTATTTCAAAGGAAACCTCAGTGCAGCAAATCTAGTGGTGTGTAGTATACAGTTAATTTTGATGCTTTTTGTTTGTCATATAAAAGTTAAGTCAAAGTCACTTGCTGCTTTATTTCTAATTTTTTTATTAGGTTTTTACATAGAATATCAACGTCAACGTTCATTTTATAATTATCCTTCCATGTTAATGTTAACACTATTCCAAATAAACACTTCCCTCCTTCAGCAGCATCTAACTTCCCATTGAGGAAAATAAATAAAAAGGTAAATAAAATAAAAAAATGAAAATAAATAATAAATATGTAGTCATATATTATTGCTCAGTTTAAGAATCAAGAGAGTTTGCCAGCAGATAATCTAAAAGGGGGCGCCACAACTTGTCAAAGGTCTTTAAAGAACCAGTAAGTGATAGTCTAATTTTTTTTTTATTTAATGCAATGTCGAATGCACTTATTTTGTCCATGCATCAAAAGAGTGTGGAGAGACATGTTTCCACTTTAAAAGAATAAAAACTTTCGCTTTTAAAGTAGTAAAAGCTAAAGCCTTTCGGACCATTACTGAAAGGTTAGCATCTACTGCCAACCCAAAAATTGTCATAGGTGGATTTGTATTCAGATCTATGTTGAATGCATCTTTCAGAGTTTTAAATATTTTAGTCCAATAATCAAATAATTTAGGGCATTTCCACAAAAGTGGTGACTGCTTGCACATATTACATGCATCACTGACAGAGGGGTGTATTTTAGTAAGTCAGGCATTAGTGTAGTAACCCTATGTAGAATCTTACATTGTATAAATCCGTGTCTTGCACATATAGAAGAGGTGTGAGCTCAAGAATATACTCCCAGTGTTCATCAGATAACTTAAAACCTAAGTTCTCTTCCCAAGCGCCTCTGGCTTGATTTGCAGAGCTCGGATTAATATTGTGATTTAGATTATAAATGGTAGAAATGCAAAGTTTTGAGTGGTTCAGGCTCACTTGCCATTTTAAATGCATTATTACAATGTATATCCAGGGAACATTTTACTAATTATGTCCAATCATCATTTGCTGAAGTTTTGTGCATATTTATATGTCAGAGCAGGATCTGAGTCTGTACACTGGGATCATACAGAGAGCTAAAAAAGTACAGATTTAAACTAATATTATGAGCATGTATGTTGTAATCCTGCATCTTTTAAGCTTCTTGCATTAGTTGTGTGTGCTGTTGCGTAAGATTTCAGATTAATGCAACAACGTGCCGTTGCTATTTTTCAGACTTCTGTTTCTTGCTGATCTCATAACTCTTAAACCACAGCAGTCAGAAGGCCAACATGGAGCAGTACACAACCACCACGACAACTAGTGGAGAGCAGATAGTGGTGCAGGCCAGCGGCGGACAGATCCAGCAACAGGTACACATCAGTTTCAGATGCAGATAATGCAGTACTTGACGTGAGAGATGCAGCAATAATGCACTAGTTTCATATCGAGTGATAAACTATTACAGTGAAACAAAGGATTTTTTTGTTGTTAATGTTTTCACTAAATTGCTAATTAAGAGTGTGTGATATTTACAGTGTTTCTCACCCATATTCTTGGAGGACCACCAGCTCTGCACATTTTCCATGTCTTCTTAACCAGACACACCTGATTCAGATCATCAGCTCATTAGCAGAGACCGAAAGACCTGTAATAGGTGTGACAGACAAAGGAGACATCCACAACATGCAGTGTTGGTGGTCCTCCAGGAACATGGTTGAGAAACACTGGTCTACTCTAATATTGTAATTGTTGCTTTAACAGCATGCAAGATAAAGTATAGAGTGCAACTCACATTACAGGACAAAAAACACATCTTGAGAAACCGAAAGCATTGACTGATAAAGGCTTAAATTATCCAGTTAACATGCCAGTATAATACAAGATATAAAACAAAAAAAATAAAATAAAATGTGTTAGATATGAAATAATTAAGGAGGATAATGCAAGCAAGTGTCATTTTGTATCATCAAAATATCAAATATTAGTGCATAAGGATGAATTCTTTTTACAACAGCTCAACAGACAGGATCATATTGAATTTTAGACACAATATTGTCTGTTTTTCTGGTTTGCCATCAGAAATAGTACTTAAAATAACGATTTATTTAATTTCTTCACCAAACAATGCCAACTTTTGCTCATGTTAGAGAAACGGTGTATTGTTTTGTTCACTTATAAATCTGTTTTTTAACAAGATTCTAAAAAACTCATCATAAAATGCGAATCCTAAAGTTATAAAAGCCAAACAAATTAAATGTATAAGTTATGAAATAAAATATTACAAAATACTAAACATTAGTGCCTGAGCATAATGGATTCTGCTTACAACAGCTCAACAGACGGAATCATATTAAAGAGTAATTTTTTTAGGCACGATATTGTCTGTTTTTCTGGTTTGCCATCAAAAAGAGTTGTAAAAATAGCCATTTATTTCTTTTTTTGCCATACAATGCCAACGTTTGGTCATGTTAGAGTAACAGCGTATTCTTTTGTTCACTTTAAATCTGTTTGTGAACAAGAAATTAAAAAAAAACTAATCATGAGAGTCCAAAAGTAAAAAATAAATAAATAAATAAAATGTGTAAGATATGAAATAATTAGGCAGGATCATTCAAGCAAGAGTGTCATTTTATGTCATCAAAATACCAAAAATTAGTGCGTAAGCATGATGAATTATTTTTACAACAGTTAAACAAACAGGATCATTTTGAATTTTAGACACAATATTGTCTTTTTTCTGTTTTGCCATTAAAAATAGTACTAATATAGCTTTTTATTTAATTTCTTCATCAAACAATGCCAACCTTTGCTGATGTTAGAAAAACGGTGTATTGTTTTGTTCACTTATAAATCTGTTTTTGAACACGATTCTAAAAAACTATTTTGTCACTATTGTGAATTGTGATAGTCAAGTGTAGTATGGTAATATGGTCCCTTATCTCTGGCCAGGGCACAGTGACTGCGGTGCAGTTGCAGACTGAGCCTCAGGTAGGCCAGACTGCAGCCCAGCAGGTTCTTCAGGTAGTGGTTGGCTCTCCAAGGCCCTCTGCTGTCTACAAATGTCCATGCATGCATCAACACTTTATTGCTTTTGGTCTGAGACCAGTTTGCATGGATTGCATTGTGGAAAGAATGAGAAATGCAATGTTAAAGTGCCTCATTATGCTTTTTTGGTTATTTATTTATTTGAAGTGAATGTTAAAAGTCTGCAAAGTTTAAAGTGGATGATTTATTTCTGAAATGCAGTGAAATAAGCCTTTAGTAACTGCAGACTTCAATGCTGCACAAACCCACAAATTGATCTTTTTCTGCAATGCGAAGTGAGCTTGTTTTAACGATTGTTTTAGAAATTCAGATTTACTTGCCTATGGGAGAAATTACTGTCTAGTTGTTAACTAACTAGTTGCTCTACAAACAAGTGTGTTCGTAACTATACATAAAAGTAAAATATATAATATAAAAATATCAAGCGGTGTAATGGGCTGTTTTAACGTTTAAAATTCAATGGAAGTGAATGAGACCGGAAGTCTCCAGCCAAAAAGATTCTAATTGGTCTGCCCGCTTGTATGTTTCAGAGTAAGGTCAATACAGTAAGTTTGTAGCAAATTAGCAAAATGCCAATCTATGGTCTTCATTGACTTACTGCAGTGTACTTTGTCCCTCATGTCTACTTTGGCCCTCAAACATTGTAGTTGTAGCTGGTTTGGAGGACTTTAGTTTGTGTTGCCGACATGTCAAGAAGATGATGTTGTGTGCACTGCGAAAGTGACTTGTGCATGCACTTCCAAAAGAATCAAAATCTAGAACAAACCGATATACTAATTCTAATATCGTCAGGGATGCACCAAAACCGAAAATTCTATATGCACTTGGTTGAAAACCAAAACAGAAAATGCTTTGAAATTATTATTACTATTTATTATTTTATTAAATATTATAACATAAATATTTAATCAGACTTTTTAAATTAAACTCGTATTCTTTCTTATGAGCAACTTTTAAGTTGAAAGTATTTTTAATATAAGATTAAATTATACTAATTTTAAAAACACAAGCCATTAAAATGAGCACGGTAAAAGTCATTGCTTTAAATTGGTTTCAAAGCACAGCACTTTCCATGTCCAGTGTGAAGGCTGATTTACAACGAGCAGTGACAATGGCTAGACGCCACAGCATAGCCTTTTTTCAGCTCATATTTTCAAATAGTATCTGGATGCAGCCTCTATGATGCAAGTTGAGATTGCATCACTCAGCGATGCAATTTCACCCACAATGTACTCAGTGGAGTGAGTGACGTCACTGTGACTGGTAGGGTTAGGGGTGGGGTTAGTTGAGCGCATTAAAAAGCATTGGATGCAGCTCAGATTGCACTGCACCAGGTCTGTATCCAGACCCCTCTCCATATTTTTGGCAGTTTTTTTTTTGTCCTAAAACTAAAAATGTGAAACCTTGGTGCATCCCTACTCATCATAAGTGTATCACAGTGTTTACAAGGGCTTTCAGAAATAGAGGTTCAATTTTCAACATCCACTGGAAGCAGTTAACCAGTCAGAACAGACTGAGCCACCTGACCAATCAGAGCAACGTAGACTCTCACTACTACAAGTGAGACCATAACATTGAACCCACAGTTTCAGACACTTGTGAAAAGAGGGAATGCTGCAGTGCAGTGTATAATGAGAAAATTAAAATGTTGAGTGTATAAGAACTTCATATAAGAACTTTAAATCAACATTACGACCTTTTAATAATAGCATAATAGGGGCACTTGAGATATCAGATGTGGATCAGCCGCTCAAGGCAACTGCTAACCTTGTATCTCATGCATTGCTATCCTTATTTGTATTATTATTATTATTTTTTTATCTTTCTCAGTACTATTACAGTATTATGAATATCATTTGCTATGATTTTCAAAAAATATCCAAATAATTCCCACAGGAATGACTTTAAAGCATGCTTTTTTTTGTGCAAATTGCATTATCAAACCCCCAGCAAGTCCAGTGCCACCAACTTCTTGCATTTCACATGCACTGCATTTTCTTGCATGCATCTACGTTTTGCATCATCTCAGTGTCTATCATAATGTCATCATGAAATTAGCATTTAAAAGTTACTATTATTCTCATTATAACGTAAGTAATGGAAGCCTGAGAAGTCTAAGAAGTAAATTGTGTTTTAGTACTGACATTTTTTTTTCATGTATTTTCTTCAAAGGTCCAAGGGCAGCCTCTTATGGTTCAAGTCAGCGGCGGTCAGCTCATCACTTCCTCTGGGCAGCCCATAATGGTTCAGGCCATGACAGGAGGACAAGGTCAAACCATTATGCAAGTACCGGTATCTGGTACACAGGGGCTGCAGCAGGTGAGTGAAGCTAATTTCAAATTCAGTTACTTGATAAAAATGCAGTATTTACTTTTTTTTTTTTACTTTATGCACTTTAATACTTCAAGGCAGTGTTGGGGGTAATACATTACAAATAACGCAAGTTATAAATAACGCAACCAATAAAGTATTACTTTTAAAAAATAAGTCATATTTGAGTTTTTTTTTTTTTTTTGAAAATGTAACATGGGTTACTTTTTAGTTTATGTATTGAGTTTTTAAAAAAATAAATTGCTGAATTAAAATGAAAGTAATCACGATGAATCACGTTGGATCAATGAGGGAATGTCTTTATTATTTTGAACACATTGAAGAAAAAGAAAATGGCATTGTCTTAATGGGCAGTGATTTTACTTAAGACAAATAGTACAAAAGTAGCAAACACATTGCATTACATTTTCATTAATCTGTATATATGGCATGTATAGCTCTGGGGTCAGGTAGTTCTCAGATAACATTATCCTATTTTTTTTTTATGTGTTTTTTTAAAGGTAAATGTAGATTTATATAGTGTGTTGTTAATTGCAGAGCTCCTCTATTAAAAAAAGAAATGAATAAAAAAAACAAGTTCTGAATAAGATCAAGCCAGGTAAGAAACTGTAACTTAAAGTAACATAACACTTTTAAAAGCAACTTTCCCCTTGATCCAAACCGGTTTGAGATTTATTCTTCTGTTGAAAACAAGATATTTTGAAGAATGTTTGAAAAAAAAAACTGCCATTTACTTTAATAGTATTTTTTATTCTTACAATAGATGTTAACAACTGTTGTTTGCCAACATATCTTAATTAGTATTTAACAGAATGTTTGGAACCGGTTGGGTAAATGCTGAAGAAATTGTAATTTTTAAGTGAACTGTTCCTTTAAGTGATGTTGCACATCCGTGTTTCTTATTGGGAAAACTTAAACATCTAGAAATTTCTCATGATTTTTTTGCCAATGAAGTATTCTCACATTTTTGGAAAATCTGGTCATACAAAAAAGCTTTGTTTTTAAAATGTGATCTTAAATACTCTGTAGAACTCTGAGAAGTCATGTTAACTAGCAAAATATTTGTCCATGTTTGTCTCATCTTTTTCTTCTTAAATAGAAAATCAGTCCTTGCTTACACCTATAAAGATTTGTCAAACTCATTATAAGCAGAACTCGTTTTTTACATTTTTTTTAAATCAAACTGATCATAAGTGGACTAGGTTTAAACAGGCCCTAACAAACAACTTGACAGTCAGTCATTGTGAGCATGGAGTCACAAAAGTTAAGAACCCCTCAGTATAAAACTCCAGCAAGATACTGGGGATAGGTGGCACGGTGGCTTAGCGGTTAGCACACCTCACAGCAAGAAGGTCAATGGCTGAGTCCTCCCTGTGCCAGTTGGCATTTCTGTGTGGAGTTTGCATGTTCTCCCTCTGTTTGCTTGGGTTTCCTCCAGGTGCTCCGATTTCCCCCACAGTCCAAAGATGAGGTATAAGTGAATTGGATTCATTAAATTGGCCGTTGTTTGCATGAATGAGCGTGTATGGCTGTTTCCCAGTATGGGTTGCGGCTGGAAAGGCACCCACTGCATAAAAGATATGCTGGAATAGTTGGTGGTTCATTCTGCTGTGGACCAAGCTAAAGAAAAATGAATGAATGAATGATACTGGGGATGAAGTTATAATGAAAAACCTCTATGTTACACAGATTCAGTTGGTTCAGCCTGGTCAGATTCAGCTTCCTGGTGGACAGACTTTACAGCTACAGGGTCAGCAGGGTCAAACTCAACAGATCATCATTCAACAGCCACAGACCGCAGTCACTGCAGGACAAAACCAGGTATTGTACTTATGCAGATTTTTTAATTTTATCATAAATATGAAAGCACAACAATCTATTTAAATACCCATTATCAATGAAGTGCATAATAAATCCTGGTGCTTTCTGATTTTTTTAGGGTCAACAGCAGATTACAGTACAAGGTCAGCAAGTGGCTCAAACCGCTGAAGGACAGACCATCGTATACCAGCCTGTAAATGCAGACGGGACCATCCTACAGCAGGGTAAACCCAGAAAAACTAAATTAACAACGATAAAATGTGTTTATATCAGTCGATACTGATAATTATCTAGCTAAATTTTACATTTCTATTTCTTTTAAGTTTAAAGGGGATTTTTGCTGCTGAATGAATGTTTTAGAAAGCAGTCTGTTCATTGTTATGTTCATTAAAATGACATGTAAACCAGATGAACATTTTTCAAATCTGAGGTACAACATTAATAATGTTAAACATTTATAAAACTTGTATTGAGTAAACTTAATCTTTTGGCAAACCTTTTTCTTTAACAAATTACCTTAACAGAAGAATTAATTTCTTAACTCTTTCATGTTCTAACAGATGACATTAAATCATGACACATTTTTTGTTCCATGACTTTAAGGACATAGTGCATATATAAAATTATTTTCAGTGAAACAGTAGCATGCATCATTAAATTTAAATATTCAAAAGAATTGTATTTAAATATTCAAATTTAGATTTTATTCCCATTAACATCCATATGTCATCCATCCAAATTATAATACCATGTATTTAGATGATCATAATCATAGGTGAAACCACGCATATGCAACATATAATTACCATCTTTAAAAGTAACTACAGTATGTGCTTTCTGTGATGATAAAAGTTTGAGAGATAGTTCATCCCAAACTGAAAATTCTGCCATTTACTCAATCCTCATTGCCACAAAACTATTTGAGTTAATATTTTTCTCGCAAAATAAGTTCTTTTTAAAAACATTGAAAACCTGTAACAATTGGCCCCTTTCACACAGTGATACCAGTAAATGTCCAGAAAATTTGCGGACGACTTTACCGGTATTTATATATATATATATATATATTTTTTTTTTTTTAAATATGAGAAGAGTCTTGAGGGCAATGCAGGGGCACAGTGAGTAGCACGTTCGCCTCACAGCAAGAAGATCGCTGGATCGCAGGTTCGTTTCTGTGTCTGTGTCTGGCGTTTCTCCCTGCGTTCGCGTGGGTTTCCTCCGGGTGCTCTGGTTTCCCCCACAGTCCAAAGACATGCGGTACAGGTGAATTGGGTTGGCTAAATTGTCCGTAGTGTATGAGTGTGTGTGTGAATGAGTGTATGTGAATGTTTCCCAGAGATGGGTTGCGGCAAAGGCATCCGCTGCGTAAAAACTTGCTGGATAAGTTGGCGGTTCATTCCGCTGTGGCGACCCCAGATTAATAAAGGGACTAAGCCGACAAGAAAATGAATGAATGAATGAATGAAGAGTCTTCAGAGTCCTTCTATCTCCAGGACTCCAGAGGGGGAGTCCTTCTATCTACTCTATCTATCCAAAAAGCACAAGGGGTGGCGCTCGCCCCTAACCTGATGTACTAAACACAAGAGTAGTCCTACGTGTTGCAAGATGTATGTCACATGACCTTCTTACCTGTCCGCTTCGTCCAAGCCTTGTAAACAACATAAATGAGAAAATAGTGTAAGATATGAATAACGGACGGATAACATGCACACACTGAATCGGGCTACAAAAATACAGTCAGACAAGGTTTTTCTTTCTAAACGCAACACATCAAACAAACACAGAAACAAGTGGAAAAAGAAGGGAAGGGGCTGGTGAAGGGTCTGGGACGCGCTTTTATGACAGGTGGTCTTTGCTTATTGGATGTGACATAAGAGTGACGTAACTGGGGAGGAAATGATTGACCACTGAATTGACCAATGAACGGAACCTGAGAAAAATGAAAGCAGATACGGGAGAACAGAGCGAGGGAGGGGGGAAAAAACAAAAACAAAGCACAAATGACACAAATACATGACACACACATACAGACCTTTCTGGAAAAATGCCGGTCTGTATGTGTGCAAGAGGCTTAAGACATCCATAGTAGGAAAAACAAATACTATGGAAGTCAATGGTTACAGTTTTCTTATATATTTCGAAAATAAATAAAATCTTTGTGTTCAACGTAAGAAAGAAACTCTGAAAGGTTTGGAACCACTTGAGGGGGAGTTCATTTTCATTTTGGGGTATATTTCAAAATTATAGTCTGGTTCTCTCAAGGTTTTTTTCTTCACTCTCTTATTGATGAAGTTTTTTTTCTCTCTCCGCTGTCGCCACTGGCTTGCATGGTTCAGGATCTGAAAAGCTACTCATCGATGGATCTGCTCTTCAGTGTTTGGACTCTCAGTAATGACTTCAAACCACACTGAACTGAGCTAAACTGAACTGAACTTAAACACTAAAAACTGAACTACCCTGATCCAGTTACTATGACCATTTATGTGAAGCTGCTTTGACACAATCTACATTTTAAAAGCGCTATACAAATAAAGCTGAATTGAATTGGATTGAATTGAATATATTGCTGATTAATTTTGTGATTGTTGTTTTTTCCCCATCCAGGAATGATCACCATTCCTGCTGCATCTTTAGCAGGAGCTCAGTTAGTCTCAGCTGGATCCAACACAAACACCACCAACACCGGTCAGGGCACAGTTACAGTCACTCTCCCCATGGCTGGAAACATGGTCAATGCTGGAGGAATGGTCATGGTGAGCTCATGTGGTCATTTTTTTCCATCCAACATGACTTCTGGCCATAAACATGTGCTTTTTTAACCTTAGTATGTGTGCGTGTTTGTAATTGAATCAGATGGTGCCAGGCGGTAGCAATTCAGTTCCCACCATGCAGCGCATTCCTCTTCCTGGAGCAGAGATGTTGGAGGAGGAACCTTTGTATGTTAATGCAAAACAGTATCACCGGATACTCAAGAGGAGACAAGCTCGCGCCAAACTGGAGGCTGAAGGCAAAATACCCAAAGAGAGAAGAGTATGTGTGATTTTTTTTTTTACTGCGCTAACAATGACATTTCAGTCACTTAAGTATTATTTTTGCTCGCTTTATTAAATATATATTGTTAATTTATAGTTAATTCACATTTGACTGCGTTAAAATATCAGAATATATTTTTAATTAAATATATTTTCATTAAATATACTGTTATTGTCACATTTTGGCCAGTCGCATCTTTTTAAAAATAACATTTGCCGTTTTTAAAATTCTTTTAAAGCACAGGTGTCAAACTCAGTTCCTGGAGTGCCTCAGCTCTGTGCAGTTTAGTTTCAAGCCTAATTAAACACACCTGATCTAACTAAATAAATGCTTCAGGCTTGTTTGAAACGTTCAGGTTATGCTGCTGTCAAACCACAGTTGTGCATGTGAAATTCTGTTGTACGGCGCTGCGAAAAGGGGCGGGATTAAATAAGATGATTAGACTTTTTATAAGCAAGCGATTGGTCCATATTTTAAATTTCTGTACAGAGAGATCATGTTTTAATCCTCGATTGGTGTCACGCAGTCAAATGATGCGACTTCGCAGATCAGAGTTCACCAAGCTTGAATTTTGCAACGTATCGAACTGCGAAACTTGTAGCACGAGCTTGCGTTTTTTGTCTGATGCTTTCACATGCGTATGAATGGAAGTCTAGAGGTAGAAAAGTCCAGAAAGCCCACAGCTTAAGTGTGTTGATGCAGAGTTGGAACTAAACTGTACAGAGCTGCGGCCTCCAGAAACTGAATTTGACACCCCTGCTTTAAAGGATAGAAAGTACTATGTGATGTAATAATAATATAATTTGCCCTGTTATAGCTTACAAAATTAATAAAACTCATTATTACGCTGTAGCTTGTATTGATATTCTTCTTGAAAATTCAGGTTTGGTTTCATTCTAAACAATCTTTTAATGATATTAAACAACTGCAGTTAATTTCAGTATTAATATACTTCAACTTCAAGTTTAACATTAATACATTATATTTTTTTGCATTTATTAAAAACCATCAGGTAGCTCAGATTAATGTCTATATTGTAATATTAATTCAATGGTTTTAAAAATACTTCAAACATTGAAAAAAGGTCAAATATTTAATAGCTTAATAAATAATAAAATATTAATAATGTGTATTATTGATGGATGAAAATAACCCAATACAATAGCCACACACTCAAAATATCAATCAAATATTGATAATATTTATTATTTATGCAATTAACCCTGCACTGTGCCTAGCCACTTAATATATATGATTAAAGAAAAAATTATTAGCTCTCTTGTGAATTTTTCCCTCAAAGGATGTTTAACAGAGCAAGAAATTTTATCTAGTATGTCCTATAATATTTGTTCTTTCTGAGAAAGTCTTATTTGTTTCATTTCGGCTAGATTAAAAGTTTTTTAGCCTTGTTGAGCAATGTTTTTTTTTTTCGATTGTCTACAAAACAATAACTTTCCTAATTATGCTAACTTGCCTAATTAACCTAGTTAAGCCTTTAAATTGCACTTTAAGCTGAATACTAGTATCTTGGAAAATATTTAGTAAAAAATTATTTACTGTCATCATGGCAAAGATAAAATAAATCAGTTATTAGAAATGACTTATAAAAACTCTTATGTTTAGAAATGTGTTGAAAAAAAATCTTCTTTCCATTAAACAGAAATTGGGGGAAAATATACATTATTATATAAAAATATTATATTATATATTAATATATATAATAATTAAGAGGGGCTAATAATTCAGACTTTAACTGTATATATTTTTTTATCCTCCCCTTGCAGAAATACCTGCATGAGTCTCGTCATCGTCATGCTATGGCCAGGAAGCGTGGAGACGGTGGACGCTTTTTCTCTCCGAAGGAAAAGGAAGAAATGGCCCTGCAGGCCATAAAGGTGAGCGAGGGGCTTGAGCTCAGCTCTCATTGGCCAGCCACCTCTGCCCCGCCTCTGGGGTAAACTAGCCAATCCCAGCCCATGTCCCACCCAAGAGACTCAACTCACTATATAATACATCTAATTTAATGTAGATCATCCATATGCTGCGGCCCTGTGCCCAAGCTACCTCATGCGTCTGTGACATACTCATGTCCGACCTGTGTTTGTCTGTGAGTTCATTGACAATTTCCAACCAATTAAACTGAACATGCATACTAAGAACTTAGTATATATGTTCTGTTATATAGCATAAACTAAATACAGTGTACAGTTTAGTCCCCATGTTCGTAAATGCTCTGCCGCCTTTCACAATTTAACTGCATATATTTTTGAGCAGCTTCAGATGTAAACATAGGCGGTCTTGTTTTAAATGTCTGACTGCTATTTTAAAAGAAAATCTTCAACTTTGACGTCTTTCGTGCTGTCTGCATTTCTGCTGTTTGTTTCACCATGCTGTGTAAACCTCTACCCAAACCGCTTGTGATACTCACTGGATGCTGAGATGTATTACGCCGTGTTTATTTGTTTCTTTTTACCATCTCGAGTAGTCATTCAAAGTGATCTGTTTTCATTTGTGATGTATGGCTTGGCTTGTGCCCTTCAACGCTCTTCTGTCTTTGGCTTTGTTGTTGCTTTCTGCCGTTTTGTGTTCTTACAGCAGGCTGTATGTGGGCTCTTGTTGCATTTACATTGCATTTCTGTTTGTCACTTGATTTAAATACATGCTCTTTTTAAGCAAATAAACCTTTGTTCTTGATTTGTATTTGGTTAGTTATGCCTTACAGTTTTTATAAATGCTGATTTAGGGTTGCGTACTTTAATAGACATTTTGATATAGTGATAATTCACCCCCCCAAAAAAATACTCACTGTTTACTCAAGTAGTTCAGCTCCTTAAGTTTCTTTTTTCTGTTGAACATAAAAGAAGATATTTTAAAGAAAACTATTGTACTATCCAAAGTAGGAAAAGTACCATAGTAAGAAAACAAATACTATGAAAGTCAATGGTTACAGTACTTTGGTTTGTTTTTTGTTCAGCAGAAGAAAGAAAGTCAAACTGATTTGGAACAAGTGGATGTTAACAAGTAAATGTTGACAGAATTTCATTTTTGGGTGAACTATCCCTTTAACTGGTGAATAAATCTCATATGATTGACTACTAGTATTTAGTATATACTTGCTGGCCACTTTATTAAGTACATGTTGAATCCACTTTGACTTTTTAAGATCTGCCTCCATTTTCCATGAAAATTCATCAAGGTGTAAGGAATATTCCTTAGAGATTTTCCTCCTTGTAAACATAATAGCATTGCACAATTATTTTGGCTGCACATCCATGATCTGAATATCCCGCTCCTTATCCCAAATGTGCTCTGTTGGATTGAGATCTGGTGAATGTGAAGGCCATTAGAGATGATTTAAGCTTTGTGACTTGATGCGTTTTCCTGCAGGATGTAGTATCACAAGATGGTTTTCGGTGCTCATGAAGAGTTGGACATAGTCTACAGCAATAGGGCTGTGGTGTAGGGCCGAACGATACTCAGGAAATGTGTTGTGTTAACAATATTTCCTATGATGTAACTAAAAAACAAATATTTTGTCTATTTATGTAATAATCATTCTAAAATAAACAGTTAAAAGATTTTTTTCTGCGCTAAATAAATAATAAAACAAACATTTATACTATAAAACATCACATATGACTCAAAACCTCGGTGGAAATTTTGATTCTTATTGACTGTTGTCATTTTCGTCTTGTCTCCAGGCATTAGTATATATTTTCCATTCTAGGTTCACCTAATAGTGAGCTGTTGATAAAGATAGAAAAAAATCCCATCTGAACCGGATAAATAACCTATGCATGCAGCGCACAAATGCATATTGCAAATACTATTCTTGTGATAATAACTTTTGAATTTGCTGCCTTAAAGGATGCTAAAGTATGGCTAACTTCATCTGATCATTATACCACCAGAAGCTTGATCTGTCGATGTAAGGTAGGATGGATCCATACTTTTATTTTAATGTCGTTTACACCAAATTCTGACCCTATCATCTAAACATCCCTGGAGAATTCGAGACTCTTCAAACAGGCCAACGTTTTTCCTGTTTTCCTATGACCAATTTTGGTGAGTCTGTGTCAATGGAAACTTGGATTTTCTGTTTTTAGTGGCAAGGAGCATCAGCGGTGTGCTTTTTTTTCTAGCTTGTATGTTTAAAAGAAGTCTAAAGGCCCTGGTATACTTCAAACGAAATCGAAAAAAGAACTGAAGTTACATCACTTCGAAGCTAATCTGGCCACAAAGTAGTACTTTTTGAGTTTGTTTCGGCAACTTTTTGGGGGAATTTGTTTTATTCCTAAACACCTTTTAGCTACCATTGGTCCATGATGACTATGCTTTTGGAGGGTGTGTCATGAAACTCCACCGTCTTTGACATGCTTCGTATTCTCGCCGTTCATAGTCAGACAGGAGAAAAACTAAACATAAATGCCTAAACAGTCCTATTGGTTAAAACAAGGCTAATGCAGTGGTTTCCAAAGTGGGGGTCGGGACCTCCTGGGGGGGTGGGGGCGCTTGGTGATTTCCAAAAGTAAAATAAATGTTATTAAACTATTAAAGTTACAATATTTTAAACGTTAGCTGAAGCAGATTGATTTTATAACACCAGTTTAGACTTTCTCCGAAATTAAACCAAGAGTAGACTTGGGCTGAAAACATTGTGTCCACCAGTCTCCTTAGTTGAAGTTAATATTAATTTAAACAAATTAATAAATGACTATAAAAATTATAAGGTTGTTAGACTGTTGCACTTTTTGTGTTGTCAATATGTTCGTGTTTATATAGGCCTATTGTTGTATGTACAATGTTTGCATATTTATAACCACCTAAGTGGAATTTGGGGGTCGCAAGTCACTAGCATTGTTATTTTAGGGGTCGCGGGGTGAAAAGTTTGGGAACCACTGATCTAATAGACGTCTAGCAATAGTCCATAACTAGATAAGTCTTTAAATACACAGGAATGAATGACTACACTTGTGACTACACTGTCTAATCTGTCCATTGGATGCCTGGTCTAGCTCTAAACTATTGTTAGATATCTATTAGATGTCTTTTAGACTCAAAATTGCTTGGTGGATTCTGTTGCTGTAGCTCATCTGCTTCAAGGTTTGATGTGTTGTATGTTGCGATGCAATTCTGCAGGGTTCAATTGTAAGTGGTTACTTGAACTACGGTTGCCTTTATATTAACTCAACCCAGTCCATTCTCTTCTGACAACTGACATCAACAAAGCATCTTCAGAAGGTGCCAATCACAACTTTTTTTTTGTCTTTTTGCAAGTTATCTCTTCCCACTTTTTGCCCATTTTGATGTTTTGCTTAACCTTCAGCAGATCACCCTCACTACATGTCCAAAGTATTGTACTGCTGCATTATGATTGGCTGATTAGACACATGCATTAACAATCAATTGAACGTGTACCTAATAAGGTGGCCAGTTAGTGACAATCAGACATATTGATCGCTAGCAGAATAATCTCATGGTTCAAACAGGTAAGAGTTCTCTCCACACCAGTCTTTAAGCACACCGCTTTGATGGAATCTTTATTTATCTTCCTCTTTCCTCAGAAAGCTGAGCAGGATCAAGGTGAAGAAGACAGAGTCGGCCAGATGATTCAGGTGGCATAAACTACCCCTTTCTGTTGTACAGTCTGTCCTTTATACTCGTTTTAAACGCAGGAAATTTCAACACATGACTTTCCCTGCTTCTAATATTCTTGATTTCTGTTCTTGTATAGATAAACAGTTGTTTTAGTTTGCTAGAATAATAAGATGGAGTTTTGGTCCCACTTTATATTAAGTGGCCTTAACTAATATGTACTTACATAGGAACTAATAGTTTGTTACAATGTACTTATTGTGTAAATAATGTATTTACTTTGTATTTATGCTTGATTAAATACATGTATGTAATTACATCTGTAACTACCTCTTGTAATTACATTTGTAAATACACTGTTGACCATCCCTTACATCTTAACTTACCCTTAAACCTACCCTTGCCACCAAACCTGTCCATAACCCAACCTCTATTCCAACTCAAAAGCACCACAAGTGTTCTCAAATACATTATAAACACAGTAAGTACACTGTATTTATTTTTTTGATGTAAGTACATAGTAGTTAGGGACACTTAATATAAAGTGGGACCGAAGTTTTTTTAAAACCATCTCATGAGGCTGAAAAGCATATGTTTGCTGTATTTATGAGAAGACCTTTCGTTCTTATGTATTCGCAATTTGTATAGGCATTTCACTCCACTCCATTTCTTTTTATTTAATTATGAGCTGACCCATATTAACAGTTGATCACAAAAAATAATGTGAATTACAGGTCAGTTTTCTACTATGGGATGTTTTTACGTGTGTCGGATCTGACTGTGAAATGTTACAGTTTTCTATGCACTCGCGCTTTTAGTTGATCCACCAAACCATTTGTACTTAAACATCTCCTTTAAGGAAAACCTTATTGTCTTTTCTATTGATGTCTTCCTGTTATCAAATAAAGGTTGACGTTCTGTACGTGGATGTCAAGTTGCTTTTTACAGTCATTGTTAACGTTCTCATTTAAGATATCCAGTGAAACGTCATGCTCGTATGTAAGACCGTTTTTAGCATTTACAAGTTCTCTTCGGGTGTGTCTGGCCATGTTTGTGTTTCTCTTTGCCAAGTAACAGACAGACCCATTTGGCATTATTTATAGATCCATGATGCATTTGAGCACTGCTAGAGTTGTTGGATTTAAAGAGACAGCTCGCCCAGGAATTACACACACACTCACACACACACACACACTCTCAGGCCATCCAAGACGACTTTTTCAGAAAATTTGGTCTTTGGTGATTCATTAAATTAAAACAGAGAGGCAGAACAAAATTAATACCCATGGCTCTTGATGATGCATTGAGGTCTTGTGAAGTGAAATGATGTGGATTGGCAGATTTTTGCAACAAAACTAGCCCAATGGCTTGTCAAAAACACTCCAAAACTAGCCTAGTGGCCAATCAAAACTAGCACAATTATGTCAAAACCCAAAATATGCAACCGCACATTTTTATAAGACATACACCATTTTTCTCAGAAAACATATTTCTAAAGGTGTCGTTTACTTAAAAATTTCCATAGATGTTGGTAACAACCAAAGAAATACATATATGCAAAGAAAACAAATCTAATTTGTTTACAAATGAAGTTATGTGTAGTAAAATAAAATGACACAGGAAAAAAGTATTGAACACATGAAGAAAGAAAGGTGTAAAAAGGCAGTGAAAGCCCAGACAGCAACAGAAATCTCTCATTAGTTCTTCAGTAACCCTCTGCCCTTCATCATTGCAATTTAATATTAGCTGCTTCAGTTCAACATCATCAAGATAAAACTAGGGTGGACATTTCAGCAACACAATCTAAAACGCAGCCAAGGAAACTTTCAAATGTTTTCAGAGAAAGAAAATCAAGCTGTAGAATTGGCTAACCAATCACCTGACTTGAATCTAGCAGAAAATACAAATTAAAGATTAGATTTAATAGACGAGACCCACAGAACCATCAAGATTTTTACACTGTGGAAGTCTGTGAAAAATTCACACCTCAGCAATGCATGTGACTTCATTCTCCAAATGAGAGGAGTCTTTAAGTTATCATCACCAAAAAAGCCTTTTACATATATACAGTATTAAATACATTTCACTAGTTTAGAAATATAAATCCCTGTTAAAAACATGACTTGTTCAATATTTATGTTCCCTGCTGTATTTTACATCACCATATGCATTATAAAGGATTTCTTCTGGTTGGTTTCCTTATAGAAAACGTTGAAATAACTGTATATTAGTGAATATAATGATTCTATTATCTTAAAAAAATCCTTTACATAAATTTACAGCATGGCTGGCTACCTTCCGGTAAAATAAAACTCCAGTGAAAGCAAACTCTACAGCAGTGAAATTGATTTTACATTAAGATGTTTTTAAAACCTAAAGTAAAGCTTTAAAATATATTAAATAGATTGTGAATTGACTACATATTTGTAATGGATGGATTACATATGCTCTTGCAGTGATTATTTAGCAGCAATCCCAGAGAGTTACCATAGACACAATAACAGCACCAAAAACAAAGTAGACTATAAATTGGTCAAACAATCCGCCTTTTAATCCGCCTTGGAGTTGGGGTGGTGGAGGGATGCTGAAGTCAAGAGAACCCAGAGGTATGACGTGTTTGACTATTTATAGGGGTTTGGTCTTGATCTGCTTCGATAATAGAATGATTGTCTGTGATGAATTAGCCTCATCAAAGATTGATCGTGCTCCTCCTGAAATTTGTTTATAAAAATTACTTCGAAAATCACGATCAAAAAAAAAAAAAAAAAAAAATATATATATATATATATATATATATATATATATATATATATATGTATGTTTATATATATATATATATATATATATATATATATATATATATATATATATATATATATATATATATATATATATATATATAAACATGCCTTATATCACATAGCCAGGAAGTGATTCATTTTTTTTTTATAAATCGTTAAAATATTGGTGTCTGTGATGCAGAAAATCCAGAGACTGATGTGTACATCATGATTTTATATACTTTATATTCTCTTTAATGTGGGATAGGACCAAAAGTGGTCATAAACAAATATTTTCTCAATTCAAATCAGTAGCGGCTTTTACCCGGAAACAGTATTTCATCCACCACCATTTAGCAGGCGGATAAAATAGGTTGTTGCTAGATCGGATACAGTTGCAGTCGAAAGTTAACGAGAATTATTTTTATTATTTATAAAATTTCCCATTTATTGTATTTTATTAACGTCTACCCCCACCCCAACACTAAACCCAACCGTCACAGTAACGTAAAAGCAGTAAATTTTTTTTTAAGGCCTACCCCCACCCCAACCCTAACCCATCCATCATAGTACTGTAAAAATATAAATTATTGTTATACAGTGACATAAAAATGCTGCTATATTGTAGTGCATATCTCACTTCCAGCCAGCCGCGTATCTGACTGTTCTAGACTTTACCGATAAAATATACTTAAAGGAACTTACTTTTGGTACAGTAAAACATTTCTATGCAACCATACAAATATAATTCATGAAATATATCAAACCTTTAACCCTTTGGTTAAAAAAAACCTACTGCAAGTGAAGTAAACTAAAATTAGCCTAAATTCATGATTTGACCAGCTTTGCAAGAAACTTTAATCACTTTTGTATGTATTTTCTTACTCTCAGTTGAAAGCAATTGATTTGTATTTTATGAATCACAACAGGTCACATTTTCAGGCACAAACCTTCTTTAATAACTTTGATAAACTGATGAAAAAATAACCTCTAGGCCTGAGGATGAGCAAATTCAAAAACAAACATCCGATCTCCTTGACACAAGGGGGCGCTAGATTCAACATAATCTAATTAAAATTAATGACGATGGCAGATTGAGAGGGTGTTATACAACAAAATCTCTATTTGCTATTTATTTTGGTGGCCTCATTTGCATATGAAGAGCGAGGCATTTAATTGGATACCTGGAAACAATTGGTTATTTTTCAAATAAAAGGCATTATGCTTGAAGAATACTTCAAAAGAGAACACAATGTGTCCTCAGTGTGATGCAAAACAGGTCCTCAGGACACACGATAGATGTCAATAGAAGTATGGTTTACCATAATCATTAGCCAAAAGGCTGGGATGGCCCGCACCAGCTGCAAACACGTTTTAAAGCTCATTTTTGGTGGTAAATTAAAAAATTACAAACAAAAAGCAACACCGATGACGTCTGTACAAAACACAAGGAAATGTTCATGAAGAAAGAATGAATATACCGTTAAAGTCAGAATTATTAGCCTACCCTGTATATTTTTTCAACAATTTCAGTTTATTTTTTTTCAACACATTTCTAAACAAATGAGTTTGTTCTGTAGACAATTAATAAAACATATTGCTTGAAGGGTCACGAAACACCAAAACACGTTTTTTTTTAGCTGTTGACTGTCATATATGTGTCCCACGTTGCCAAAAACACTATTAGGACACATATTTAGCTAACAAGTGAAAAATGGTTGTTTTTAAGTTGTTTAGTGCAAATTCGTTCTTCCGGTTTAATTTTTGTAGCTACATCACAGCAAACAGGACATTGTGTAAATTCCAGAGCGGAGATTGGCTGTCTGTACCAGTCGCTGCAAGGTGAGGTCATTGGGTTTTCAGCATTAATTCATCAGAAGACTTGATTCGAACCAATTAGCGTTTTGAATGAGATGCAACTCCAGGAAAAGTTGTTCGGAGACATGGGTCGTCAGTGTTGCGTTTATAAATGTGCCGCAACGAAGATTTTGTTTCCATTTCCCCGTGATTAGATCACAGCAAACATATGTTTATAAAGAACATTTTTTTTACCAGAGAGATTTTAGCATCTGGAAATGGTGAAATCCGGATTTGCAGCTCATCTTCTTTAAAAAAAAAAAAAAAAAGGTGGCGCTCCAGTTGGTGTTGATTGTCCTGCCTCTACAGATTTGGTAAGTGTTTGATCACTGCTCTTTTTTATGTTTATTATACAGTTGAAGTCAGAATTATTAGCCCCCCCTGAATTATTAGACCACTTGTTTTTTTTCCCCCCAATTTCTGTTTAACGGAGAGAAGATTTTTTCAACACATTCATAAACATAATAGTTTTAATAACACATCTCTAATAACTGATTTATTTTATCTTTGCCATGATGACAGTAAACATGGCCCTTTAAGGGGGCTTAAAATTATTTAAAAAAAACTGCTTTTATTCAAGCTGAAATAAAACAGATAAGACTTTCTCCAGAAAAAAAAAATATTATAGGAAATACTGTGAAAAAAATTCTTGCACTGTTCATTTGCACATCATCATTTGGAAAATATTTGAAAAAGAAAAAAAGTCATTCAGAGGAGGCCGAATAACTACATGAATATTCACTCACCCTCATGTTGTTCCCCACCCTCTATGACCAAATATGATGATAATGAAAATAACATGAATGACCTGAAGGTAAATAAATGATGACAGAATAATTTTTTTGGGGGGTAAACTATCCCTTTAAAAATACATGCATACTTAAATCATCACAAATTTCCAAATATCCGCATTATCTGAGTCTTTGGCAGTGAGCTGACATTCATCAGGCTTAGCATTTGGGCATGCATGGTCCCCCTTGACATACAGCAGGAGTCAGATGGCTAGACATCTGCCCAAAAGTCCAATGTGAATTCCCATTTGAATTGATTCAACAGATTCCAGCGAATGTTTCTCATTCCCTTGTGAGAACAACACTAATCCCGCTGCAGCACTTGGCTACGCTTTGGAAGAAGGGTAGGATGATTATGTCTAAAACGCTACTCCATAAAGTTTGCAACCAGCCAGTGTTTATCAAGACAACCTGCACGCATGGCGTGAAGAACCTGAAATGGAGAAAAAAGGGAAATCCTGTGATATCTTTCTCTTGATTAAAATAAATCAATAATTCTGAAAAATGGCTACCTACTCCTGGTAACAAATGTTTAATTAGTTCTCCTAAAAAAATGGGTTGAATAAACCCAGTTCATATATATTTGAAATTAATGAGTAGGTAATTTCAGCAAAAGATTGTTTACATAATTTAACATAATTCGAAAATTCATTTAGAACACGGGTGTCAATTCCAGTTCCTGGAGGGCCGCAGCTCTGCACAGTTTACTTTTAACCTTAATTAAACACACCTAATCAAACTAATTTAATTTTTCAGGCTTTTTTAAACCTACAGGTAAGTGTGTTGGAGGAGGGTTGGAACTAAACTGTGCACAGCTGCGGCCCTCCAGGAACTGGAATTGACGCCTGTGATTTAGAATATTGCTTATAAGTCCCAAATATTTAGCCTAAATAAATATATGCAGGGCGACGCAGTGGCGCAGTAGGTAGTGCTGTCGCCTCACAGCAAGAAGGTCGCTGGTTTGAGCCTCGGCTGGGTCAGTTGGCATTTCTGTGTGGAGTTTGCATGTTCTCCCTGCATTCGCGTGGGTTTCCTCCGGGTGCTCCGATTTCCCCCACTGTCCAAAGACATGCGGTACAGGTGAACTGGGTAGGCTAAATCGTCCGTAGTGTACGAGTATATGTGAGTGTGTGTGGATGATTCCCAGAAATGGGTTGCAGCTGGAAGGGCATCCGCTGTGTAAAAACTTGCTGGATAAGTTGGTGGTTCATTCCCCTGTGGCGACCCCTGATTAATAAAGGGACTAAGCCGACAAGAAAATGAATGAATGAAAAATATATGCTGAAATTCTTCTAACAAATGGCTAAAATAATATTAATTGCAAATCTAGAGTACATATAATAACATTGGAGTGCTTGTTCTCTTTTTTTCAGTGCTGTATTATTAAGGCATTTTGAAATTATTTCAGTGCATTTTTCTTCTAAAATTGTAGCTTTGACTCTCAGGGAATGCATGCAGGATCAACAAGTAAAAGTAAATAAATCTTCAATGCAATGTATTTTACTACACTTTTCAGAATCTACAGTAACTTACTGTAAATTGATTAGAGCAAAAATACTGTTTACAATTACAGCACTATTCATCTTGCTGTATATGCATTTACAGAATTGTATTGTATATCTTTACTGTAAAATATACAGCAAGTTACACAATGCAACTTTTAAAATACAGTAACACACTGGATAACTGTCCTACAGTAAACAGTTCATATTCCAGATACTGTGCAATTTACAAAAAACATTAACTATGTATGGATATCAGGCATTAATGTAAAATCTAAGAATCTGAGGTGCTCTACCAGATGTGAATGAAGCTGAGGACGGCGAACACAATCCCAGCGATGAGGGACACTGGAACAGCCAGCACAGCTGTGATGATACGGTAAAACCAGACCCTGGAAACCTCGAAAAGAGCATGACTCCAGATCCAGACCCGATCACCACTGCGCACAGACACCGGCTCTGCTATCACGTCCTCAAAACTGACCTGTGCAAAGAGAACATACTGGAAATCAGCAGCCTTTATCACCTATCTTTACCTAAACATGATTAAATCCCTTTAAAGTCGCATCAGCTTGACAATGCATCTGATCAGCTGTTTTCCCTGCTGAAAAAAAACAGGTTAATCTGGTTGGCTGGTTTTAGCTGGACAACCAGCCTGGTTTTAGAGGGGTTTTGGCCATTCCAGGCTGGTTTCCAGCCATTTCCAGCCTGGTCTAAGCTGGTCAGACTGGGAGATAACCAGCTAAACTAGTTTGACCAGCCTAGCCAGGGTGGGAACCCAGCCAAAACCAGCTATGTCCAGCTTAAACCAGGATGGTCAAGCTGGTTTTAGATGGTATTTTTTTTTCAGGATGACCAGCTAAGACCAGGCTGGAAATGGCCAAAACCCCTCTAAAACCTGGCTAGTCAACCAGCTAAAACCAGCCAACCTGTATAGGCTTTCAACAGTTTTTTTTTTCTGTTTGTCAGAAATAATAAAGGACAAGTGCTAGTTACAATAATGCTAAGCCAGTCCTTCACTTGAATTAGCCTAAATCACTGTTTAATTGAACAAGAATACTCTTGTTACATTTTTTACATAATTATTTTTTACATAGGGTACTTTTTTTTAATGAAGCAAACTACTTAGCTAAGCTAATCTTTCAATGGTAGGCTAATCACCAATGGGTCTGGCCACAGTGGTCATAGATTTATGTTTTGTATGTTACATTAGCATTACACTTTGCAATTAAACAGATTTAAGCTACATTAAAAGAGAAAGTAAAGCTGGCCTGGCTTAAATAATCTTTTAGTAACCTAAAAGAAATTGTCAATTAACCTTATAACAACATACATTTATTTTAACATATTGTATATTTTTACATGTATATGTGATACATGTGTATTATTTTATTACATATATTTTGTATAATAACCAATAACCACATGTAAAACGTTTGATTAAGCGCTACATTCGTTATACATAATTTAAGTACCAAAACAAATGGGCTAAAATGATTGGTTGTTTTATGTAAAAGGCGGGGCTTCAGCACTACATCCTCAGCGACGGCAATAACAATATTTTCATTTCGCTAAGACAACAAAGACAATCACTACTTCTTCTGAAATACTACAAAATATCTGGTATGCATCTGCCTCCTGTATGGAGGAAGCTTTTTTTGTCAAGTAAAAACTAAAATTAGCAATGGTTAGCCTAACATAAACAATGCTACATTAGCCTTTATGCTAGAGCTCTGCAAGTCTTTAATAGTGTCCGGTCAGCTCATTGAGGAATAAGTTAGCTGTTGCTATTATTGTCTACATCATTATATAGCAGATATTCACACATGTTCTGCTAATCCATCTCCTGCTACCAGCTGAGCTTGTCTTCAAAGACTGACAAGGATCCTTACTCTGCATTAAATTACTACTACTAGGCCTACTACTAAATGCTAAGGAGTTGGATGTATGATGAAAAATATTTCACCTTATTTTATATTTAAACAACAACTTTTCTTTTTATACTTGTATTAACGTGAATGAGTTTCTGCAAAGTATATAAAAAATAAGGTGAGTTTTACTTGTAACTAGAAAAAACTTGTATGATTTGTATATATAATTGCATTTGTGCTACAAAGGTTTATGTTTCTTTATTTAACCAGATAAAAACCCATTGAGATCAAGATCTTATTTACAAGGGTGACCTGGCTAAGAGGTCTGCAACACACGACTTATAAAAAAAAAAAATATATATATATATATATATATATTATATAATATAATATTAAACAGAAAATTTATTTAATATAAAATACAGTTTAGTTGTTCAGCTATACACTACAATATGTTAAAAACACATACACTGAGGAATGCACTGATGTTTTTTAAAAAGGATAGAGCAAAACGATTTAATTGGGATGAGCTCAGACATTTTTAGCTCAGACTGAAGAGTTATCCAGGATGAGAGGGCGGCATGACTAAAGGTTCGCTTTCCTATTTCAGTTCAAACCTGAAGAACAGTCAAATTACAAGATTCATTTGAATGAAGGGCATACTCGCTTTTTGACTTATAAAGAAGGGACCTTGGATATGAAGGCACCAGTCCCAGTCAGAAGAGCCTTGTAGATCAGAGTCTTCCAGTGGGTGTAACTTCTTACATACAGAGTAGGCCACTTAGCTTTGGCATACAATTCACAATGGTGAATAAGTGTCTGACAGCCTGTAACAAACCTTAGAGCACTGTGATAGACGGAGTTTAAAGGCTGAAGACATTTGGTTGAAGCCTTCAAAACATCCCCATAGTCAAGCAAGACAACAAATGTTTACGAGCTTTAAGAGAAAAGCAGGATGCATTTCGATAGTAAAATCCAAGCTTAACTCTCAATTTTCAACCCAAATTTGCTATGTGTTCTTTGAAAGAAAGCTCGTAATCGAGTAGAAAACCTAATAGCTGTAAACAAATTTTTTTTGTTGACCTTGGTCAGTGGTAATTAATGGTTGGTTCTACACAGGAGTGGAACGATTTGTGGAAATCATTAATTTAGATTTGTCTACATTTAAAACCAATTTATGATCCTTAAGACGAGACTGAACAATATTAAAAGCAGACTGTAAAAATTGGTTGGCCTGAGAAAATGAAGAAGAGCAACAATAAATCACTGTATCATCAGCGTACAGATGATGAAAGGCATTTGGAAGGTCGTCGCACAAGTTATTAATGTAGATAGAGAATAATATAGGCCCTAATACTGATCCCTGTGGCACTCCTTTGGACACCTCTAAAGATAAAGAAGGTTTACTGTTTTGCACTCTTTTTATTACCATATAAACCATTTATTACCATTATTATTACCATTATATATATATATATATATATATATATATATATATATATATATATATATATATATATATATATATATATTATATTATATTTAAAAATAATAGTAAATAAAATGGAATAAAACATAATATTCACTACAAAATACATCAGAATCAGAATATTTGTCTTGTTTTCTTGTAAAAATATTTAAAAAGTTTTAAATCAATATTCATTCAAAAAAGAAATAAATGAAAATATTTATATAATAAAAAATAAAATCAATAATTTTACATTTGTATTTATTTATTGTTTTTCTTGCATGCATCTCGATTTAAAGTTTTTAAGAGATTGTACAAGAAACAAGACTAATATCTTCTTGATTGTGTATTTTTGTTGTGAATTGTCATAATTAACATGTCTATCAGCTCCAAAAGCTCCCCAACATGTTCACCATTAAAATGTTCATTCAATAGATAGTTCAGATGTACAGTAGCCAGACATGCAGAGATTACCTTGAGACACTCATTTATCTGTCTTGGGTCACGTTCATTGATCAGAGGCTTGGTGTCGCTCTGCGTGGAGATCAAATCATCTTCTTCCTCTTCCTCCAGGACAGTTTCCAGCGGCGTCTTCCATGTCTGCTGTCCCTCGTCGTCCTCTCCGTCTCCTGCGTCCCTCAGGTCGATCTCAGTCTCACTGGAGTCCACACTGCGCATCATGGTGCCCGTCATCAATATGAGGCTCAAGAGGTCATAAAGACAGCATCAAAACAGGCATAAACAGCCTCACACATACACACAGTGAATGGAGAGCCGCATCGCTGTCCTGAAGCTGAAACGGAGATCTGGGATATATTAGGAAAGTCAACGTGCCCTCGCAGGCATTCCCAAACAGGCCCCAATGGGGAGATGCCAACCCCTACTGATACTAATGCTATAAATACTCCATTAGTGACTGGACCAATGCAGAGAGCTGGTAAGATTACAAGGGGACTAGTGGTATGAAATATTAAACAGAATGGAAGCTTTGATTTTGAGCACTGGGTTTTACACTATAAAACAAATCTGTGCATAATAGATAATGTCCTTGTAGACAATTTAAAGTTACCTGTATATATATATATACAGTACATCTACATAAAACACACATTGTGGAGTTTTGGAATTTTTGTTTTGAAATGTAATCAATCGATCAATTAAATAACAAATCAATCAACCAACCAATCAATAATTCAATTAGTCAAGCCACTGATCAATCAATAAATGATTCAATCAATCATTCAGCCAACCAACCAATCAATTTACTCAATCAGCAATTCGACCGACCGACCAACCAATCAATATTTTAATCAGTAATTAAAAAATTATTGATAACCAATCAAGCAACTATCCAATCAATAATATAATTAACCAACCAATCAACCATCCAATGAATTAACCAATCAATAGATCAGCCAACCAGTCAATAACTCAATCAATAATTTAATCAACCAAACAACCAACCCACCAATCAATCAATAATTTAATTTACCAGCTTACCAACCAATCAATATTTTAACCAATCAATCAATCAATCAATCAATCAATCAATCAATCAATCAATCAATCAATCAATCAATCAATCAATAATTCCAAAATTCAATCAAGCTATCAATCAACCAACCAACCCACCAACCAATCAATAATTTAATTTACCAGCTTACCAACCAATCAATATTTCAACCAATCAATCAATCAACAATCAATCAATAATTCCATAATTCAATCAAGCTATCAATCAATCAACCTACCAACCAATCAATAAAAGAACCAACAACTAACTAATTCAACCTATAATTATCAGTAATTCAACCAATAATTCAACCAACCATCCAATCGATAATTTAATCAAATAACCAACCAACCAACCAACCAACCAACCAACCAATCTAACAACAAATCAACCAATCAATAGTTTAATCAGCTAACCAACCAGTCAATAACTACAATCAATCAATCAATCATTTATTCATTCATTTTCTTTTCATCTTAGTTCCTTTATTAATCTGGGGTCACCACAGCGGAATGAACTTCCAACTTATTCAGCTCGTTTTTTTTTTTATGCAGCGGATGCCCTTTCAGCCGCAACCCATCACTGGGAAACATCCATTCACATTCATTCACACACATACGCTACGCACGATTTAGCCTACCCAATTCACCTATGCCACATGGACTTGTGACAGAAACCGGAGCACCCAGAGGAAACTTACGTGAACGCAGGGAGAACATGCAAACTCCACACAGAAATGTCAACTGACCCATCTGAGGCTCGAACCATTCTTGCTTTGAGGCAAGTCGACAGTATTAAACAAACGTATTATGTTATTTAACATAATAAACAAAAATGTGAACACCGGTAGAAAAAAAATTTTATAGAAAAAATAGCGCCCTCTTGTGTTGGTTTTAGAACATTTTCACAGACCTCATTATTCTTTTAACAAACTGCATTTCCATTAGTGTTACTATTTGTAGTCGAACAGAATTAAACCTGCGATTAAACCCTAAATCCTGAAAATTGTCACTCTGACTTCAATTCATAACTTTATTATAATTTGCAAAATACGATTTTATAGCATGTAGCGTTTAGTGTACATTTGTATTATTGAGCGTTACATACCTTGCCACCATGTTGTTGTGTGTTTACCAGGCCATTGTGTTTTCCTGGGTGTTTCAGTTGCTGTATTATCTTTATTATCGTGCTCAGATGGTGTCATAGTGGGTTTTGTTTGTTCTGGAAAGCTCTCATATTAATCACCATCATTGTTTAATCTCACAGTTTATTGCATTGTTTTTATTCCAGTTCACCTTTGCTCACACTGCCTGTCTCGTGGATTGTGATGTCAGACCATCGCTTTTTAATAAATGTTCTTTTGGCAGCCGCCCTGGTTTAGTTTGCTTTATCCGCTAAGTCTAATCTGCATTCAAATCTCCCCATTAGAATTAAAAACTGGACACATAATTACAGGAAACATGCTTTTACATGATAGACTGAGACCTGAATTGATACTGTATGCTATAGAATTTGGATAAAATCATCGTCCCGGTTGTTAAAATTTGCAATACTGTTGCAAAACAGCTGTCCTCTGGCAGATTTATTATGTTATATAACATTATGCATTTGGGCAAGGTCACAGGGTTTACAGAAACACACAAAGCCAGAAGTCCAACAGGAGAAATACAGCTTAAAAATCAAGTAGGAATTTATATATGAAAAATATATATATGTTTTAAAATTTTTATGCTCAGCCTGTTTGCATTACATCAACTAAAAATGCAGTAAAAACAGTGATATTTTAAAATAGTGATAACATTTAAAAATAACCTGTTTATACTTGAATATATGTTAACCCTTATGTAGGATGTTTTTATCCACTCTGGGGTGATTTTGAGTATTAATTTAGCCATAACATTTTCTGTGTTTTAGCTAGCAGAATGATTATTAAATCTTATTAATTATTAATAAGATTAACAAATCTTGTTTTGAAACATATTTTAATTATATGCTTTAAATTTCAACAATACATTCTGGGTAAATGTATACCCTTTTGTAATGTTCGGGGTGAAAACTCCACTGAAATACACTGAATTAAACTGCTGTAAAAACACATCAGATAACTATTTTATTTTGCATACATCTGTTAATTAACCTCAATCCTGATTAAACTACTGAATTGTTTAGAAAAGTACAGGATTTTAACCCTTTAATTGTCAAATTCATAAACGATGTCACTGATTTGGTCAACATGCATTGTTTTTGATCATTTTTTTCTCTCTCCCTAATTTACTGTTGGTGGCTGTTTTTGCCCCATTGACTTCCATTATAACTACATTTTTTTGATTGCAAAATCATGACATTTCCTCCGGGTGCTCCGGTTTCCCTCACAAGTTCAAAGACATTTGGTATACAGGTGAATTGGGTAGGCTAAATTGTCTGTAGTGTATGTGTGTGTTTGTGAATGTGTGTGTGGATGTTTCCCAGAGATGGGTTGCGGCTGGAAGGGCATTCGCTGCGTAAAAACTTGCTGCATAAGTTGTCGGTTCATTCCGCCGTGGCGACCCCGGATTAATTAAAGGACTAAGCCGACAAGAAAATGAATGAATGAATAACAGCAAATTAAAGTGTGTATATGTGTCTGTGAGAGTGAATTTTACGCATTTACCTTGATGTCTCTGAGAAAATCAAAATATGCATCTCAGCTCTCAGAACTACATATTAAAACAAAGACTTGCTTGTTTACGCAGCATCAAATGTGGTCATAATGGCAAAAGCAGCTACCAACAGTAAATTAGAGAAAAAAAATTTACAGTGCAACAAAGCTAATGTTGTTACTAATCGTTCACACGTCCAAGACTGTGTTAAAAGGAAAAAACAAATCCAACTTTTTATATTGAAAATACGCCATTTTGTGTTAGAGTTAGAGTTAGAATTAAGACTCTAAGAGTTAAACTCCAGTCATTTCTTTGAAAAATCTGATGCATATATATATATATATATATATATATTTATATATATATATATATAGTACTAGTCATCAATATGAATCGCAGCTGTGTGTGATGACGGACAAACAGGGACCGGTGTGTGTGAGTGGTACATGACAGTATATGTAGTCCATGTGATAGTGGATTTGTAGTTTATTAGCAATCCACAGTTGTTGGATCACCTATAATCATAACAAGCATGCTATTGAAAATAATGGTAAAGAATGTCCAAATTAACCAGCAAAATGAGCTGTGTGTTTAACACAACTCCACATATGCTGCACTCTACTCAATCACTGTGTGTCAAGCTTTCAGTGACTAGTGTCTTTATTAAACAGCGAAACAATCTGGCATTGTCACTTCAACACAAGTCTGACATCTACAGAAGCAGTCCACATTTGTATTATAAATAACAGAATAAATCTATAAAAATGATTCAAAAATACTTCAATCAGAAAAAAGCCTTGGTTATTTGATTTTCAGTTTGATACTCGCATATTAAATAGTGCAATAGAAATACAGTAATACAGTATAAAGAAGGTATTCTTTGTAGTAAATATTTAATAAACTAATATTTAAAAAAACTTTCAGTCAGGTTTGATCCCACAATTTATATCAGTATTTTTCCAAATGAAAACAAGGCTGTGAGATATCACCAGAATTAAATATGACAAAAAATAGGTTAAGTTCGATGACAATAAAACTCATAGTGATTTCAGATCAAATGCCTTTAAACCTAAATCAGCTCTGTGTTTGTAAACATGTGGGCGGAGTCACCACTATAAAGAGTTGTGATTGGATGAAGGCATTTGTTGTTTATTGGTTGTCGCCGTGTTGCCAGTTGCTGTATGCTTGAGAGCTTTCATGAGCATGAAAACCCTAATGCAAAAGCCAAATGATTAGGTCTCATACTTCAATGTTCTTGTGCATCTCCATAACTTTCATAGACTTTAGTTCAGGGGTGTCCAGTCCTGTTCCCAAAGTTCCTAAAATGTTTCAACCTGAGCAAACATGCCTGCTTAAATGTTTTTAGAGCCAATCCCAAATCACACATCAAAATATCCGTATTTTGGGGTGCCATGTTGTCCCAACACAAATTGATTCAGTTACCTTAATTGTTTTTACAAATGTAAGGGGATTGAACATAAGACAGTCAAGTTGACCCAAGAAATAACCTTAAGAATTGTGTTGTTTCAACTTATTTTAAATAAGTCATCATACAGATCTATAGGACAGACTGGAACCCATGCAAGCTACAGCGTTAATGAATGTCTATGTAGACAAGTGAAGAGGTTAGAAAGTACCCTCATTTAGGTACCTCTAAAAGCATGAAGGAGTACTAAAACATTTATAGTTATAACATAGGTTATAACTCATGGCAATAGATTGTGCATGGAAAGACGCCTGCAGGCCAGCAGAGGTATTAAAAGTTGTCGCAATGCACATGCGTATGAGTCAAATGAAGTATACTTTGAGGTTGTGTATTTTTCTCTACAGTATATGGTAGTGTACACATAGGGGCAGTTGTGACCTAATGGTTAGGGAATTGTAATTGAAAGGTTGCAGGTTTAATTCCCTGTCCCTGCAGGATTTGAAGATGGGTTAGTAAACATATGGCACTCTTTCCATCTTCGATACCCAGCTGAGGTGCCCTGAGTAAGGCACCTAACCCCTGAATGCTCCCCGGACACTGGGAGCAATAGCTGCCCACTACTCCAGGTGTAAATTCACTGTGTGCTTTACTGAAGTGAAGTTTTATATTCACATTGGTTTATTTTTTAATAATGACAACCGGTGATGTGCTCCCTATACTGTTTACCGCTACTCTGAATATTTGGTCTGAAATAGCATGTAAGTATGGCTTAGGTATACGTGTAATTCCTGCACGCCGCTGGCCAACCACTAAGCATACAGTTGTCGCTTTAGGACAAAGCGTGAGAAAAGGAGACCAGCGATCCTTACATGCATGACATACTGCACATTAAGACAAGTTTTGCTTGCTACACAACTGAAATCTTGCTATACAGTTTTTCATTGGGAATTGTAGTATTATAAAGTAATCTAAAGTTTTCTAACTGTGCGTTTGGGATTTCAGGAGGCGTGGCTTTAGACAACAGGGGAGGGATTGTAATTCAAAGAAATTATTCTAACGGGTAGCATTTTGGCAGATCACCTACTGCACCTTAAACACGTCAATGCATACCAGTTTCCAACATTCTTCAATAATAAATATATTATTTTAAAAATATAATTAGAATAAGTGAAGTGTTCAAAGTGCATAACTGATTACAGAAATATATTTTTGAGTGAACTATCCATTTTAACTCATAAGTTCACACTTTAATGACTGTCTGCTGTACTCTGCCATGGAGCTTTCATTAATGTGGTCTTGACAGAAGTTTACATTGAGAGCACACATCATAATAATGCTAAAATGATGAAGGGGACACCTTGCGGTCTCATGATCTTAAATTGATAGTTCACAAAGAAATATTATTTTCTTACTTTTTAAATTTCTGCCTTCTGTTGAATACAAAAGAAGATATATTAAAGAATGTTGGAAAAAAAACATCAATTTTTTTCCTACTATGAAAGTCAACAGCTGCTTTTTTCCCCCAAAATTCTTCAGAATATCTTGCTTTGTAAATGAATTATAGAGGAAATAAGCTCAAACAGGTTTGGAATAAGTGAAAATTGGGTTAATGGTAAGGAAAGTAATATTTTACAAGACCATAGTAGGGACTGAGCCAAGAAACCCTGAAGGCCTTCATTAGCTGGTTCAAGTGTGTTTAATCAGAGAACTTTCCAGAAGCAGGACTGGACACCCCTGCTTTAGGTGATCTCTTCAGGTATTTGCCCTGGTATCCTAAAACTTGTCTGGTCCGTTGTATCCCTCGATGTAGCCATGTGATAATTGCATCTAACCCCATCCCTGTCACCTCTCCTGTGCAAAAAATGGAAAAAGTCTTCATGTCCTGAGCGTTCGTGGCCTGAGGGTGAAGGTCGCACTGGTCTGCCAGCCGATCGGCAACACAGGAATATCTTACACAACTCTTCCCTAATCTGCCGATTGAGCAGGCCGTAAAAAAAGGGATTGACGGCGAAAGTCGAATACGCCAGCCAGGTGACGGGACCTTCGGCTTCTTCAGAAGTACTATGGGAGATACCCAGGGATAAATGAAGGTGGAAAGCGAAATAAGGCAGCCAGCAGAGCAGGAACTGACCCACGATGATGGCTAAAGTAAGTGCTGCCTTTCCACCAACAAGTGTTCTCCTTTTCCGACGAGGGACTTGATTCCTGCGGACGCTTGTGCTGGTGGTGATGATTGTAGTTTGGCTGTTGACCGAATCAGACCTGCGTTTCGGATGAGCCGTCGCTATTGTCCAACTCGGGATCGGTCCTCTTTCCCGGGCAGCTGTGTGGGCGACCTTATAAACATTCCCATAGACGGCAATAATAATAGCAGCCGGCACACAAAAACAAACTGTGCAGAATAAAATCGCAAACACTCTCCTATGTCCGCTGTGGCTCCAATGGAGGGAGCAGTGAGTTGCTGCGATTGAGCTTCTACTTCCATAACTGGGCCATCCGAAGACTGTCGCGAGTCCTAGCAAAGTGGACGCCACCCAAACGAGTCCCATTACAGCCGCTGACAACCAAGGGGTCATTTTAGCCTCGTACCTCATAGGATGCACGATGTAGAAGTAGCGTTCGATGCTTATCACAGTGACCGTGAAGATTGAGGCAGATACAAGAAAGGCATTGAGGAATATGTACAACCTGCATTCGAGTACGGAAAAGACGACGCCGGCGAAGAACGGCGAACCACAGACAATGCCAAGCGGCATTAGCAGAGCGGCACATAGCAAATCTACAATGCAAAGGTGACAGACTAAACTGAACTTACGGAGATGTGGCACTTTCACCACTATGGCTAGCACTGCGCTGTTGGCTATTAGTGCTATCGCATTAAGGGTCACCATTACGACGAGGCCTGACATGTCTCGTAAACGTGACTGCGGGTTGGACATGCTCCCTAACTGCATGCTGGGAGGCAGATGTATGGGGTGGCCATGAGTCAGTGTCTCATTAAGTTCAGTTTCATTGAGCTCTGCTGCTGCTGGAGGTAATCCAGAAGCATCCATTGTTTACAGTGTAGTGTGCGAAATACAAAGCAGAAATGTAGGGTTCTCCATCTTCTAGCAGTCAGGAATGGGGACACATCAGTTGGCGGTTAAAGGTCAACTGTTAAAAGGAAAATACGAAACACAAAAATTAGTTTAACATGTATTTCATTGCATACATATAATACAATGATGCTTTTTATAGCTCTTTTGCTTTTTAGTATTTTTTTTTAATCTAAATCATTTTATTAACATTTCAGTTTCAGTTTACTTTCAGTTTCTTTTATTTTTGTCATTCAAAACATCACAATAAATTGTCGTGCAGAACAAAAATGTTGCATCAGACCCAACAAGAACATAAAAAACATCAGACTCTATAAAAATCTAACATAACATAGTAAATAAGCTTTTATAATTTCATATATATAAATTGCATATGCATATGGGGTACAGGTGAATTGGGTAGGCTAAATTGTCCGTAGTGTATGAGTGTGTGTGTGAGGATGTTTCCCAGAGATGGGTTGTGGCTGGAAGGCCATCAGCTGCATAAAAACTTGCTGGATAAGTTGGCGGTTCATTCGGCTGTGGCAAAATAAAAGCAGTTTTTATTGTTTTTAAACCATTTTAGGTCAATATTATTAGCCATATTGTCTACAGAACAACCCATCATTATACAACGACTTGTCTTATTACCCTAACTTGCCTAATTAAACTAGTTAAGCCACTTTAAGCTGAATACTAGTAGGCCTATCTTGAAAAATATCTAGTAAAATATTGTTAACTGTCATTATGGCAAGGATAAAAGAAATCAGTTATTAAAACTATGATGTTTAGAAATGTGTGGAAAAATATACATGTGGATAATAATTCAGGAGGGCTAATAATTCTGACTTAAACTGTAAATATTTCAAGTACAGTAGGCCTGATATTATATTATGGTAGTGTTCAAAAACATGATATAACTCTAAAAGCACTTTCAAACAAAATGTAAATTCATCATGTCATGAGTTTTTGTACGAGTAGGTTTTAAAAACATTTCTAAATGATCAGGTGATTAGCGTAGCTTATTACATTGACATGAGAAAGCAAAGTAGGCTTGATCAGTTGGAATAATTCATGCTTCTCTGTTCTGTTGGTGGTGCTCGTGGTGCTGTGAGCTTTTGAAGCGCAGTATAATGAGCTTAGTTGTTTAACTGCAGCTGCTGGGTTTTCTCTAGCATTAGCATTAGCATGAGCTCACTGTCACCTGCACATCACTACAATTAGCTCACGCCACAGACGTCATGCTATACACACAGTAACACGCTAACACAGGGTGATGTAATTTACTGTACATTCACTGACTGAAAAACATGATCACTTGTCTGAAAACTTAGAAACCTAGTACTTGTAAACAAATCTTTTAGGTGACGTTAGCAATACACAAGTTTATGACTATCATACATTTTTACCATGATTTACATAAGAAACACACCGATACAAAATTAATTTTGTCAAGCATATTTATATAGTACAAGAATTATTTGATGGGTTATTAAAAGACTCTGTTTAGAGATCAAGAATAGCCTATATTATTATAATAATACTACACTGTAAAAACGTTATGTAAATTTGCAGTAAAATTACAGTATTACTGGCAATTTTGGATAAAACCATAGCTACTTTTCATAAGTATATAATGTTTATAATGTTTAGATTGATAAAACTGTGACCAGCAGACATTTATTTCGTACCCCGCCAGTCATTTAATTTCACTGCACATACCAATAATCAAGGCACCTTTAATCTTTAGTCTCAGCTCATCAGCACACGTCCATATAGAGAGTCTAGATAATTAATGCAGAGTAATTTGCCTCAAATAAGTGCGGTATTACATCACCAGCATTACAGCAGCACTGAACGTTCCAGCGTATTTTAGGCTAATCGCTTTGTTTATCTCGATGGATTGATAATTCCTCGACCATGTACATGAGCAGAGCCAAAACTAACTTATTGGGTCAAGAGTGGAAGATAATGCAAAATCTAAAATAACACTTCTATCATCCTCCGTCCCTAGATTCAGGGGAAAAAAAACTATATTGGATTTAGTCCTGTCATCACATGGTGGCTCAGTGGTTAGCACTGTTGCCACACAGCAATAAAGTCGCTGGTTTGAGTCTCGGCTGGGTCAGTTGGCATTTCTGTGTGGAGTTTGCATGTTCTCCCAGTGTTGGTGTGGTTTTTCTCTGGGTGCTCCAGTTTCCCCCACAGTCCAAAGACATTCGGTATAGGTGAATTGAATAAACTAAATTGGCCGTAAAGTGAATAAGTGTGAGTGAATGTGAGAGTGTTTGAGTGTTTCGCAATACTGAGGTGCGGCTGGAAGGGCGTCCACTGTGTAAAACATATGCTTGAATAGTTGGCGGTTCATTCCGCTGCGGTGACTCCTGGTAAATAAGGGGAATACGCCGAAGGAAAATGAATGATTGAATCATGTATAGTAAATATAAAGCCAAAACTCATACGATTATGTAAATTTGTCTTTAATTATTTTAACTCTATCTGCATTTAATAGGTTTTAATGCTTTTAAATGCTTAATACATGTTTTTATTAGTTTTCTTTCTTCATATTTTTAATGTAACTTTAAAAACAACAGTAATTTCGGTGCCAATGGTGTAGTGGAAAGTGCTTCAACTATTATTATTATAATATTATTAAATAAATAAAGTAAAAATAAATCAATTATTATTAACGATGATCATAAATTACTTTGAAAATGTGCTTTTCTTGGTTAAAACCAATTCATTAGCTGCATGTTTAATTATATATAATTCATTTTTGATTGTATACAAACACAATGTTCATGCTGCTTTGATGGCGTATTTTATTGAAAATAAATATAAATAAAACAAATTATTAATATAACTCCAAACCCAAAACCTGCACATCTGTTCATTAGATGACTAGACAATCTCGGCTGAACAGAGAGATTACTGGGCAAAATAAAGGGGTAGAAAAGCTACATGGATTAAAAGTGGAAGTCACTGATTTACCAGACCTTTGTATCTGAATTAGGGGTGTTTGTTGCTATGGTAATATTATTATATCATTGTTTTTTTATAATTATTTTTTCAGGGTTTCACCTTTGTTAAATAGGATAGTAGAGAATATTGACGGGAAAGTGTGGGGAGTAAAAAGGGTAGAAAGATTGGTATAGGAAATCGAGGCAGGAATCTAACTAATATAAATATTAATAAATATTATTATAATATTATTAAATAAATCAAACAATATTTTTATTAGTAAAACTATTATATTTAAAATATTATAATAGTATTTATTTATATTTATATAAATGTATTTTTCTATTTAGGAGAATAGTATTAAAAATGTAAATGATTTACTTTTACTCATTTATTTAATAGTATCACAGCAGCGTGAACATTGTGTTTGTATTATTATTCTAAATGATTAATTAAACATGAATGATGAATAATGAATAAAGAGCGCATTTTCAGTGTAATTTATAATCATTGTTAATAATAATTGTTTCATTTTTATTTGATTAATTTAATAATATTATTATTATTTTATTATAACAATATTTATTTATATTATTATTTATATATATTATTTTTAAATAGTTATAATAACATCAAATATTAATATTGTTTACTTTTATGTTCAGCATGAACATACTTTCAAAATTTGTTGTTGCATTTTTTATGTGTATATACAGTGGTCAGCATGATTGAGTACACCCCATTTTCAAAATAAATATTTTTATCCATTTCTCAGTGAGTTTACGCAATGTATTTTGGTGCATTTAAACAAAACATATTTATTAAACAGATATATTTATTAAAATAAAATTTTAGTCACTGAACATTTTTAGAAATGGAAAGATTATACATTTAAATTCATGCAAAATATTGCAAAAAAAAATTACAAACTACTACAAAATTATATATTTTCTGTTTCTCTTGATTTTTTTGGTATTTTTTATTTTTTTTAGAATTATTTTATTTATGACTTTTATGGCAAATTGCAGTAAAAAATAAAAAATTGTTATACATAATTTCAAAAAGTTCAGATAGTATCAACCTAAGCGCATACAATGTAAAACAAAGAAAAAAAACATACCAACAAATAAAAAGGTAAATAATAATGTGGCTTAACAAAAACTACAGTTGTACAATCTGTATCACACAATACACTACTTTGCACTTAGAAAAGAAGAAGAATCAATTTGCTGGAACAAGGTCTTGGTCTATATTTGACAATTATTTTTAATTTTATTTAATATTAATTTTATTTTATTTAATATATTTCCTTAATATATAAATTTGGGCTACTAATTTTTAAACCATTATCACAAGATATTTTGTTAGATTAGCTTCAGATTTGGCTTCAGTGGTGGCTAATCTAATGTATATGCACAAATATAACATTGTAAAACATCCTTTAGAAAATATTAATTTAAATGAGACATTTGTGGGGGGTGTACTTATATATGCTGAACACTATATATAGATATATAAGCTAAATGTAAGTATAGTAAGCTAGTAAACATTCATCTATTGTTGTTGTTTTAAATAACTGAGAAAAACAACTTTTGTGTGTTATTCAGGATCATTAAAACTTTATTCTGTTGTTTAGCATACTATCAATTATGCAGCGTTTGTTGTTTACCAAGAATAAATTAATTATTAGAAGCCTAAACAGTTCCATCAGACGATCCATGTAAGAGTAACAAGCTAGATGTTTAGTCCGAACAGTATTTGTATGTATTTTCATTCTTTAAAACCTACAAATAGCAATAAATATATAAATCTCACCTGACATCTGTCATGTAGATCTGGTCGAGCATCCTTCAGTGTTCCCGAATCCCGGATCTGTCCATCGGTGGAGTTTATCCAGCACTTTAGGGAGCTTGATGGAGTTGTGTTTGGTCTTTGCACTTAAGAGCAGCGGAAACCATTACACTGACAGATGTACATGATGTGCAGGTCAGTCCATTACACAGACACTCATTACACTGAGTCAGTTCACCCTAACAGAGGAGGCGAAGAAGACAACAATAACACACTGCAACACTGAGACTCAAACTGATAGAGAGAGAGAGAGAGAAAGAGAGAGAGAGAGAGAGAGAGAGAGAGAGTGCAGAAAGCAGCTGACCAGGACAGTCACCAATCGTAATAGTCACTCACACTATATTAAAACATATTTGCACAAACACATGCAATAAGAAAACAATAAATAATAAAGATTATTAATTACTTTGGTTATTGTGAACATTATTAATAATAATAGTAAAAATATTTGCAACTTTTTAAAATTTTATTATTATTCTTATGAATTGTTTTATTATATTTTTATGTTTGTATGTGTATATTTTATTGTATTGTTTCACTTTTTATTATCATTATATAATAACATATATCATTTTTATTTTCTTCATTTTCTTTTCAGCTTAGTTCTTTTATTCATCAGGGGTCGCCACAGCAGAATGAACCACCAACTTATCCAGCATATGTTTTACACAGCGGATGCCCTTCCAGCTGCAACCCAGTACTGGGAAACACCCATACACTCTCATTAATTCACACACACACACACACACACACACACACACACACACACATACACACACACAAACACACACACACACACACACAACCGACCATTTTTGTTTATTCAATTCACCTATAGCGCATGTGTTTGGACTGTGGTGGAAACCAGGGCACCCGGAGGAAACCCACGCCAACATGGGGAGAACATGCAAACTCCACATAGAATTGCCAACTGATCCAGCCGGAACTCAGGGAACCAGCGACCTTCATGCTGTGAGGTGACTGCGCTACCCACTGTGCCACCGTGTTCCCAGCATAGTATACTGTACTTGATTTATTTCATATGTTTGTGTTGTGTGTTTTATTTCATGTATTTTTTGTATATCACTATTGTGTGTGTGTGTGTTTGTATTTATTATTTACAGTATAAGTTTAACTAGTATTATATTATTTACTAAGTTAACTATGTATGCATGTGTATATTATTTAATGTATTACTAATTTTAAAACATGAGTTTCAGTCAGTCGTTTGAAGTGCGTCTGTAATGTCTGCTCTGTCCAGTGAGCAGCGCTGTATCTCAAACACACACGTGTAAACCAACCCAGAAGAAGAGCCTCCGGAAGCATGTGTTTGTGACCATGTGAGTGCCAGCAGAGAGCACTAAATAAACTCAAACATCCTCAAATTACTTCTAAAAATCAGTTAAGTAAAAACGCCATCATGTCGTCCTTCTTCATAAAGAAAAAACTCGTCTCTTCAGCAACGAATAAAGGAGATTTAAAACGAAAGGTACGTTTGAATTGAGCTAAATGAGACTTAAAAGTAGAGTTGTAGCGTTCATGATGTTATTTGATGCACATCTCTCTGATATTGTGTAATAATAACGTGTTTATGTTCATATTCGGCATGTCAAGAGTAATACAGACGACGGCAAAGGGAGATCCAAAAGGTTCAGTAAACGAATGAATGAAGAAATCTCGAGTGACTCAGAAAATGAAAGGTAATGTTGTCTGAACTAACGTTACTGCAGTTTACAATAGAGGTAAGGTTGGTTTTATATTCGCACATCCGTTCATTAAGAAGTCTCTATATTGTTTACTATTTTACTTTGAATATTCGATGGGAATTAGCATGCATCTAGGACTTGAAAACAACATTAACTGGTCTTCCTAAAAAGACAGTCAGACAGTTGCAGCTCATCCAGAACGCTGCGGCCAGGATTCTGACCAGAACCAGAAAATCAGAGCACATCACACCTGTCCCCAGGTCTTTACACTGGCTCCCAGTTACAGTCAGAATAGAGTTTAAAGTATTATTACTTGTCTATAAATCACTAAATGGCCTAGGACCTAAATACATTACAGATATGCTCACTGAATACAAACCCAACAGATCACTCAGATCATTAGGATCATATAAACTAGAAGTTCCAAGAGTTCAGTCAAAGCAGGGGGAATCAGCTTTCAGCTACTATGCCCCTTGCTGCTGGAATCAGCTTCCAGAAATGATCAGATGTGCTCCAACATTAGGCATATTCAAATCAAGACTGAAAACACATCTGTTTAGCTGTGCCTTTACTGAATGAGCACTGTGCTACGTCTGTCAGATTGCACTATTATGTTTTCTCTTCTTTTTTATTCTTTTATATTACATTTGATCTTTTTTTGTTTTTTTTTAATCATTTTTATTATTTGCTTTTATTTTTCTTATGCTTGTTTCTTTTATTCTTATTTATGCAAAGCACTTTGAATTGCCACTGTGTGCTATATAAATAAACTTGCCTTGACTTAACACTGTTTATTTGATTGTGAACAATGTTGTACTTTGAAAGTCATTGGCTGCTAATATGATTTCGCTAATTAGAGATTGCAAATAATACTTTTATAAAATTATATTATTAAGGGGAAAGTCCGAATGAGCGAATATAAACCAACTTTACCCCTATCAGTTTACATGATGAATGATGCTTTCTTTATGTTATAAAAGAAATATTTTATACAAAAAATAAAATTTATTTCCTCACTCTTCACTTGATCCAAACCTGTTTGAGTTTGTTTTTCTTGTTGAAGCCAGAAGTCAATATTTTCAAGAATGCTGGAAACATGTAACCATTAACTTCCATAGTATTTGTTTATGTTACTATGAAAGTCAATGGTTACAGGGTTTTGGCTCTCTTCAAAATATCTTCTTTAGTATTCAATAGAATTGAAGTAAAGTTGGTTTTATATTTGCACATTCCCTCATTTTTGAACAGTGACGTGGTCCATATATTGTTAACACAATACTGTATATATTCAGTCTCAAATCATTTGTAAGAGTAAGTTTAAAACAACATTAGCACTATTTAATAATTTACTGTGAACAATGTTGTACTTTTGAAGTTCTTGGCTGCTAATATCATTTCATTATTTAGAATTCGCAAAGAATACTTTAATGGAATTGTATTATTAAAGAGAAGACAAATTTAAAACCAACTTTACCTCAGTTCAAATAGAATAAGGAAACTTATAAACATTTGGAACCATTTGAGGGTGAGTACATTTAAGTTTTTCGGTAAACTGTCCCGTTAACAACAGTACCTTTTTTCTCTAGTGCTGATCCAGGCAGAAAACAACAAGAGAATGAAGAAGACGAGATCGAGGAGACGGCGCAGGAGAAGAAGCTCCGCCTGGCCAAACTCTACCTGGATCAGCTGAGAGAGGAAGGTCTGGAAATCAATTTATTATTCTTTTTTTTTTTCTGATTTATTGATTAATTCATTGCAAGATTGTTTTTGATTGTCATGTAAAACCTTTGAGTTTCTTTCTCTTGTTAATCACAAAAGAAGATATTCTGAAGAAACCTGTAACCATTGACACCTATATTAGGCAGAACAAATACAATGTAAGTCGATGGTTACAGCTTTCATCATTATTCAAAATGTTTTCTTTGTGTTTTACTTAAGAACGGTTTGAAATGAGTAAAAGCTAAATGATGACAGAATGATGACAGAATTCAATTTTTTTTGTTGAACCATCCCTTTTATGGGATTTTAGAAAAAGGTTTTATCCTCTAAATAAATTGTTAATCAATCTCCAGACCAGACTGACTAATTTTCTTCTGAACTGTTGTCTTTGACTGACCAGTGCATTCTGTTCTGTCATTCACAGAGGACAAGAAAGCAGAGGAAGAGTCGTTTGAAGCGGATCTCATTGCTGGAAGACTGCAGGAGGATGTGGTACGTTCATTACTTCATCTCAAATTTATGTTTTGTGTAATATCACACATTTTTACATTTCAGAAGATGCTTAGAAACATGAAAATAAACTTTTATAGTAAATACTACAGTGTTTTTTAACCATACTGACACCTCCAATAGAGATAGAGATGTTGCACAATCAGTTGAAATGTTGCTATAATTGGTTTTTATATATGGGCGGCATATTGCATCACCAAAAATGATTGAGGTCATGTCCAAGTGTTGTGCGATAAGTCCATATTGATTATTGTGACTGGCCTACACAACTCCCATAATTCCATGTCATCAAAATGCGACTTTGTTTGTTGTAATTACACACTCTAGTGACAAAATGAACATGCTGTGCCTTTAACTGTTTAACCTATGTGCCTTTAACTTTATGATTTCTGACATAGTTTGACATAAACAAAGGTCACAATGTTTTTGTCTGGTATTGTATTTACTGTAACTGATGTATTGTTCTTGCTGCTGTAGTCTATATTGTCTTTCATGTCTTGTTATCCACTGGGTGGTACAGTAAGGTATGGTTCGGGTCACTTTTATTAGACTCGTGTTTCTACTGTCAAATGGTACCGATGATACCCTTTTGGCTGGTGTGGTGTTCGACAAAGTTGCAGTTGATGTCGTTTTAGCTAAAAGTTCACATCATATGAGAAGCACTTCTCCTTAAACAAATGCTTTATATACATAAATACTTATGTATAAATAAATGTTTATTGCTAACCTTTCTATGAACAGGATTTGATTATAGCTGCAGATCAATGACAATGCAAAAGCACTTTAACGTCTGCAATTATATAAAATAAAAAAATATATAAAACATTTATGAACACATACAGAGATTTACAGTCTGAAATGTTACCAATTATAAATAGAAAATACCCAGAACTTACATTTAGGCCTTATTTGGGTTCATAAATGATACGAAATGCATACAGTCAGTACATACCGCTCATCTTTATTCTTCACCAGCACATGTAAAGTTAACATTTTGTTAGAGAGTAATTCCATCATTCCGAGTTCATAATAGTCCAAAAGGCAATGTGATAATAGTTAAACATGGCAGTTTGTTGATCTTTTAGGTTGCTGAAAGAATAGTTTGCTCCTTCACTCTTGCATTTTTCTGTGTCTAAAAGGATTTCACGCGCACGTTATTATCATCAGTTCAAGTTTGTTATTTCACATATAGAAAAGCTCTCTACAGAAAGTGAAATCACTCGCGCTTTTAGAAGACCTCGTAAACAACAACAGGGCAGTTTCTGCTCTTCTTGGCTTTGTGGC